ACTGCCACCGTGCCCCCGCAAGACGACGTCTCGAGTGTGCGGGCTGTTGTTTTCCAAACATTCGCTGCGCGCCCCCTGACGCGCCAAGCCACCCATTTGGCGCTCGCGCGTGAAATGAGAATTTGGCATTTTGTTATTAGGGTCGGGGAAAAAGATGCCGCTTGTGCCAGTCGCGCTCCCTTTAAGGTAGAAACTATTCCCGTTCTCTAGCTCGCTCTCACTATCGCTCTCTCTCCCCCTCTCTCTCTCTTTCTCTCACGTTCTCTCTCTCTCTCTCTCTCTCAAACTCAAATTCTCCAGAACCATCATGACAACGATACTCAACTCCGACTGCCTGGCCCAAATTTTTCACTACCTCGACTTTGCCGAACGCGTCAAGCTGGAGGGCGTTTGCCGGCTATGGTGCCGCATTATGGCCGCCTACTCGACAAACTCAGATATTCAGGAGATGAATATTGCCGAATTTTTGAAGACCACCAATACTGAATACTATCAACAGGTCCGGAAATCAAAATTTAAACTACAGAAACGAAAGTTTAGGACAGCCTGTCTTTCGAACCGACAACGATCGGGATTATCGACCGTTGTGGGCAGTATTTGCAAGAGCTGTCCTTTGGGGGGAGGTGGATGAAGGTGACGCAGAGGATTTCGGATTCAATGGCAAGGTGAGCTGGGGGATTCGGTGGTCGAATAGAAACAGAAAAATCAAAGAATTAAAATTAGTCCAGAATTAAAAAATTAGTTACAAGAAAACCCGAAAATTCGTAACCAAAAGTTTAAAACTGAAAATCTGCATCTTCGGGGGGCTTACTTGCTAAAAAAACGCCAAGTCTTAAAAAAAATAAATGTTTTGGGGCTAAACCGAGGTTTTATACGCACAGGGATTACATGTCGTAATGCCGTCTGCGCGCCCAATCTATCTACCACGGTGATTTCCACACAAAATTTTCGCTTAAAACAACGATCAAAAAATCGCCTGAAAATTCAGAGAAATGACGACAAAATTTGTAAATTGGCGCATTTTGACGTCAAAACAGTAGGAAAAAAGCGACGTTTTGAGGGCGCGGACCAAGTTCTCAGGCCTTTTAAAAAACTACTTCCAGCCAATGCCACGCTCTCCGCCGCCTCGACCTGAGCGCCGTGATCATCCACGGGGACATTAGCGACGTTCTCGACAAGGTCGCCGAGAACCTCGAAGACTTCTCCCTGGAGGACACCAGTTGGGTGGACCCGGAAGCCCCGAAAAAAGTAAGTTAAACGTGGACGCGTCCAAATATAGCCCTCGAAAAACGTTCAGATCACGCCCTATTTCCCGCGAATGACCCGGCTACGGCGGCTGAACATGCGCGCCCAGTCGACGGCCGTCCTCAATGAGCTGCATAATGTGGGCGGGGAATTGGAGTAAGGCGGAATAATGGCTGCCTCGTAACGGGGATGGCCCCCTCAATTCAGAACGCTGGTGATTAGCACGGCGCTGCGAGACATGAGGAACTCGTCGCTGATCAAGCTGCTGGAGCGGCAGATCGGGCTCAAGGAACTGGTGATGTGCCCGTCGCCGGTGTTGCTCAATGGTGGGTAGGAGAAAGTTGTGGAAAAGGGCAAAAAGAGAAAGTTTTCAAGGGACTAGGAAGTCAAAATTTGCATCTGCGAGGAACGCATCTATTAGTCACAATTAAATTAAAGGGATACTGCCAAAGTACGAACAAAATTCCTTTTTTAGCAAAAAAAACTTAAAAACCGCGCTATTTGAGAAAAGGCCGAATGTTTTGCCGGCAAACGCGTATTTCTGAGCGAGGGGATTATAATTCAATAAATAAATAAAAATGAATAAAAAATGGAAAACCTAAAATAAATGAACAAAAAGGAATTCTAATTTTCGAAAAACGTTTTCGCGTGGAGCGACAGCTAAAAAGTCGAACAGACTAAACCTATTATCTATTACGTAATGGATTCAACACTTGTAGCGCGGAATCTTAGGCAAAGAAACCACAAGAAGCCCTGCCCCTTTAAACCTAAAAACTAACAACCCTTTCTAGACGAGTTCATGGCCCGACTTCTGAACCTGCGCGCGCTGCACACGCTGCGCATCAGCCACGTCCCCAACGAGGGCTACGCAATCGAATTGCTCGGCCAGCTCGAGGGGCTGCGCAAGTTGGCGCTTCAGGTGGTCCAGTTCAAGGGTGCCTCAAAACCAACACTCAATTTAGGAGGTGCGTTCGCTGACCGAGGAGTCGCTGCAGCTGATTCTGACTGGGCTCCGGAAATTGGAGAGCCTCTCGTTGGCCAAGTGCCAAAATGTATACGGGTTCAGCGCGCTGGACCACTGCCATTGCCTTGAAGAACTGGAGATTAGCGACAATACGAATTTGGTCGATGATGATCTGTTTTCGGTGTTTGGCCTGGGAGGGCTGAAGCGATTGAGGTGGGGAAGGGGGTCAGAAAAGGCTAGAAAAGAGTATAAATTAAACACTACTTTTTCATTAATCGCGGGTTAAAATAAAACTAGAAAATTTATCGCAAAAATGGCTATAGTTTTGACCATGCTATTTTGCTTCCACAACAACCACCTGTATCGCTTGCTTATAAAATAGATCAGGGCCGAAATAACAGTGGAAAAAGATAGTTTTACCCTTTTGGAAAGCGCTGTTTACATTTTTAAAGAAAAGTTTTGTTAGCCCCGCGAGTAAACACAACCCAATTAACCATCAAAAATGCCGCCAATTGGCGCAAAACATCTAAAACACCATATTTTCAGGGTGGTGCGTTGCAGCAACGTCAGCACCGAGGTCATCGTTCACGCGTTGCAGCGCAATCAACTCGAAACCGTAAGCCTACTATAGCAAACTAAAAAAATCCCCGGTTTCAGCTTGACCTGACCGGCAGCACGATGATGAACGACGAGGCGCTGTTCGCCATCGCGTCCACGCAAAATGAGCTGGGCTATTTGAGCGTGAATGGATGCTACAAGACGTCGAGGTGGGTTTAAAGGGACCGGGAAGGCTCCAAAAACCGGCCATCTAATTTGAAAGAGCGAAATTAAAATAAGAATTAAAATTAAAATTGAGCACTACAATTTTTCAGCAAAGGAGTGGCAGCCATCTCTCATATGGCGAATATCGAGAAGCTCGACGTACTGGACGTTTCGAACAATCGAAAGGTAAGCCCGGGCGCTAGGGTGAACAATGGAAATCGATAGATCAACGAAATGGCCATCCTGGGGCTGCACAATGCCCTGACGCTGAAGCGCCAGAATCGACGCTTCGAGCGCCAAGCCCATCAAGAGGATGATGGCTTCAAGGCTGCCGATCTGGCGGCGATCGAGGTTCCAAGCAAGGTTAGTTTCAAAAAGCGAAAAATATATAAAACTATAATCAGAATCCATTTTACTAACTTTCAAAAATCCAAAAGTAAAAAATGACAGAAAACTGGCTCCATTTTCCCCATTTTAAAAATTTGTTCGAACCCTTTTGCCATTTTTTGCGTTTCCCCGAGCCGGCTATGCTAACAAAGTAAATCCACTGACTGGCGTAAAAACAATGATTCAAAACCACGGCTAGAAAAAATCCAAAATCCAAATTTTGGCCTGAAACTGAGCAAATTTTGCCATGTTAAAAATTGTTCCAGCGCTTTTGCCATTTTTCCGCTTCCCCCCATTCGGCTATGCTAACAAATTAAATCCCCAGACTACCAGAAAAACCTGGATTCGACAACGACTCGAAAAAGACTAGGGAGCCCGGGGATGCCGACGGCGCGCGCCTAATTGCATCTGGCACACCCCCAATTTTCATACGCCAAGAAAGGCACGTGTCTGAAATCAAGGGCCCCACCTCAAGAAACCAAGTCGGGATGAAGCTTTCAAAATAAAAAAAGATGTTTTTTAGCTCCTAAAAGTCTACGCGACGCAGTCGTCAATTTCGACGAACGTCGACGAGGCGGTGGCCGATTGCATCGAGATTCTGCGGTGATCTTTGGAGGAGAAGCTGCAGCCGACCACCACCCGGAACAAATTGAAATTGCCCCCCCGGCGTGTCGGCGGCGCGTAGCCGCAAAATGTGATTACGCAATGTAATTAGCTAAACTACTGACTTTTTGTGTTTAAGTCATGTGACTGACTTTTTGCTCAACTGCCCGTACGATGTAATGCAATATAACCCCCTTTCGGTTAGTCATGTACACCCACCCCTCGAGAATACAGGTACACCCCGCAACGATAGCGCCACTCAGAAAACGATTGTGATTTGAGAGTTGGAATAAATAAAATGACTTTTACATCTCAAAATTTAACGGTATTTTTCAAGCATCGAAAAGTTTGCAAAACACTACATTTCAAATATTTAGCCAACCCCTAGCAACATTTTTGGAAAGATTTAGCAAGATTTTTGCACGATACATTGGAAGGGCTAAAGGGAAGAACAAGGCATGGATTTTCTCTTCCACGGATTTATCTGCGAAGCTTCTAACTTTCCTGTAATCCATTACGATACAAAAGCACTGGCCGTATAAGCGATTTTAATCGCTCATATTCAGAATTTAAACCAATTTAAATAAAATCATGCTTACAATTTAAAAATCCATAGATAGAAAATTTATAGCCATGCCTTGTCCGTCCCTTGAAAAGGTAGAAAAACGAAAACTGAGGGCAAGGACGAGGTCCGGAAAAAATCAACCGAAGGCGGCACAAGTCGGATTGCGGGTTTTCAAGCATATCGTCCAATAACCGGAAGTAAAAGCAAAATCTCTACCACCCAAAAAATCGGCAATTGTTTAAAAACCCCCAGCGGTCGTGAAATTGCACCCAAAGTCAATAAAATCGGATTCCCCCAATAAGGAACAGGTTGCCATGGCGCTCCGCAGAAGGGCATTGCGGGGATGGGTGAAATGCAATGGCCGGGTGGGTGGGTGGGCCCAGCCGAAGAGATTGGGGGCGCCCCCCGTGGGCCCTGGGAAAACATGCATTAGGGGCCCTCGTTTTACCCTGATTTGGGTGGTGCCCCTCTCTAGCCTGTTCTAGAAACGGCCGAAGCGTTCAGCCCACACGACTCACACGCAAAAACAGCCAACGCGTCCCAAAAATCTACCTGCTCCGGGTTGCCGGGGATTTGCTGCTGGGCGTAGGCGAGGAATTGGTGGTAGGTTTGGGCGTTGAGCGCTTCTTGGATTTGCTTCCTGAAAATTTATATTTTTAAGGCCCGGAGCATTTAAAAGAACAGCCGATTTTACACAAGTTTTTCATTAGGCCCATAAACTCTTTTTAACGAATTTAAAAATCCATTAAAAAAATTTTATAAAAAATGGAAAAGGACATTTTAATGGCTTTTCTCCACAAAAATAAACTCCATAAACAAACCTCTGTGCCTCGTAGACCTGGAAATCGACGGGATGCTCGTGGTGGGTGCCGGGCTGCCCGATTTTGTGCCCGTTCAGGACGCGCAGCTCGGATTCGTCGGTCCTGAAATAAAAATACTAATTTCGTTCAAAAGTTAACCCTGTAAAATGGGAATTCCTCTAAAATTCCCCGTAAAAAGTCGACAACGAAAGCCTAAAAAATCCTTAAAATTTAGCCAAATTTTCAGATTTTAAATAATAAGAAAATACTCAAATAAATTTTTCGTTACGACGTCGCGTTGCGAAATCTGAACGGGAGTGTACCATGTTGTTTTCCCTAATTCTCTAGATTTTTTCGATCTTTCTAAAATCATAGGTAAATTTGTTGCAGGATCGACGAAAAATCCTCGTCGAAAAAAGATATCCAAAAAAACGTATAAGAGACATGAACGGCTATAAAAAAACCTTAAACAAGAGCCAGAAGTTCAAGGTTTTTCAAATGCTCAAAGAAATTTCCAAAGAAAAATCTTCGTTACAAAGTAGATTCGCGAAATCTTAAAGGGAGCGTGCCATGTTGTTTTCTCTCTTCTTTTCTTTTTTCCGGTTTTTTTTCAAAATCATGGATAAATTTGGCGCGGAGAAAGGACGAAAAATCCTGGTCGAAACAGGCAATTCACAAAAAATTACAAAAGAGGCACGAACGGCCATAAAAAAAGCTATAAAACGGGGCTGATGGCGAGGCGGGTAAAGCGCAAAGTGCCATCATCATCACCCCTAGGGGCCCATCGCATATCGCCCTAGTCGAGATGGGGTGGCCGCCCCCACTTGTTAGCCCCCCGTTGAGGAGGGGATGAATATGGGGGCGCGCACGAGGAGATGGGGGCTCGCTCGCCTCTGTGTATGTGGGCCCTAGAGGACCAATGTGGCCACCACCCTGAAAAGGGACACAAATGGCTGGGTGGATGGCCGCACGCCCAGCTGCCCGGTGGCCGCGAATTGATCCGCATAGCATAGCACATAGCACGACACTGCAGACAGACAGACAGACAGACAAACGGACAAAACACTAGAAGAAACACGGCAAAACTTTTTCCGGGTGGTGGTGGGGCCATCAAATATTACCGCTCAGAATTATAGACGACTCTGCCCGGTCTGTATTCTCTACTCGCGCGTACTATTTGGCGGCCGGAAACGTAAAGTAGCACTTTTGAAGTCATGTAAAAAAAATTTTTACTAGTTTATAGCATTAATTCTTTTCATGAGTTTAATTTTTGTAGGCACCGTCAATTTCCAAATTAAACTCTGTCAAAAGCCCAAAAATTTTCGTGCTTGAAAAATCTAGCAAGCTGGCAAAACCAATAGTTTCGTAATTTTAACGGTCAGTCTGAAGAATCATTTCCTGAGACTAAATATTAAGAAAATTCCAGTCCAAATCGTTGAAAAAATTTTTTAATGATTTTTAAGATCTTTTAGACATTTAAAAAATACTAATACACTAATTAGTTCCGTTGCAGTCATAGAAAATATACAAAAAAACGTCCGCGAAAGGGCATGCGTATGGCAAGCGGATGTTCCGTATCTACAAAAGGCTCGGCTTTTGGTAGCAACCACATTAGGTGACACAATGTCGTTTGAAATATTTTCTCAACAAAATCTAACATAAGTCAAAAAAGGATAAGCCATGTATTTTGTCAGAAGCTCGATTGTAAGCCCTAGAAAACCATAGGTTACGCTCTTTCGATACCTCGTGATGAGGGTACACTCGAATAAATCTGGACACACTTTCTGCAGTCCGGGGTGGCCCACGGGAATAGAAATTGAGGATTAGCCGCCCTATGTGTCGCGAGTCGACTCTAGTGGAGTTCTTAGCCAACCAGCTGTATAATGGGATAAACATGTATTTCGTAAAGTAACGGGATCTCGGGGAAAACAGTCGCCCGGACCAAAAATGAGGAAATTGGATAATTACTTCTAGGGTCAGAAAAGGCTGACCAACCCCGCTGAAACGCTCGCTTTCATTTCACAGAGGAAATATCTAACAACAGCTCAAAAAATAGCCTCCTTACCGCGGCTTTGGCGCCTCAATCGAGTCGACGACGAATTGCTTGAATGGCGGGCAGACCTAGACAAACAATTTTTGGCTGAAAAAATGGCACAAACTCGATCAAGCAGGAAGACGAAACCGGACATCGCCTCGTCACGGCCCAGCTGTCCCAGCGCCTGCCAGGCTTTGCTGAAAATGGAGAGATTATGGACTGAGCTCCTCCAAAAAATTCCTGCCTAACAAATAAAATATCGTGAAAATACTTGAGCAGCCATTTTTTTGCAAGAGACAAAGATTATATGATATAAACCATAGTATATTATATAAATCATCGAAGTGTAAGTGAGCTAGTTTTTAAATGGAAAGTCGCCCCGGGATACGGTTGTCCAGGAATCAGACAGAATGACGGGATTTAAAAAATTACAATTATGACTTGCATGGAAACGGAAGTTCATTTTTTGTGGATTTCTGTAAAAATTAAATTAAAACTATCTAAATTAAATCCTGGTGTCACCAGATACCTCCAGGGTCAGAAAATGTTTAGCTCGGAAATGTTTTCATCCCAAAAAATTGCGCAAACCGGATCCGATTCGATAATCGCAACTTGTGCCCTAATCCACCCACCCGCCGGAAATCACATTTTCCTCCCCTTTCATACAACAGGACGCCAAAAAGGAGCCGAAGAACCAGAAGGAGTTCACACCGGGAAGCGCCCTCTACATCCCCAGGGGAGACAATTTTGCCGGAGACAAAATCCCACCGAATCTCTAGAGAACGATGACCGATGAGCCCCCGATGCGGCGGAGAAGCCGAAGAACGACACAGCCGTTCTCCCGGCCTCTAAATGGGATCCCTCGCCAGCGTTCGAGAGAGCAAAATTTGACGGAAATTAGCAATTTCATGGGCCGGGCACCGGCTGCTCAATTTCCCGCCGGGGCCAATACGATGGCCGTTAAATGACGGGTGTACAGCGTTTCAAAGGATCGGCGGCAAGGAGGTGAACCTTTTGGATGCCGACAAGTCATCAAAAAAAATTATGCTGAAGATTATATAGAGTTCGTTCAAAGGAATTTCGCGGGGACATTTGTGCATTTTTAAATTGGCTTGGAAATATTGAGATGTGACGTTTTGTCATGCGGTGTTTTCTCAAAGAGCCAAATAAAATGGAGAGGAGCATAGCAGAGGCCGGTCAGCGCTGGCAATATAACAAATTCCCTGGAAATGAAGTAACGAATGGCCGAAATTTGTAGCTGTTTATTAGTGTGGTAGCAACTCGAAAGCTCCATAGCTCTAAAAACGGGCATATATAATTCGGCTTAACTCTAGTGCCCAACATTGAGGCCCAAAAATGTATGGATAGATGCAAAAAAAAATTCCAAATTGCCTATAAAAAGAGTTAGAAAACACCCGAAATTCCCCTCTTTTGCCTATCAATGCAGAAACGGCTTCAGGAAAATTAGTACGTGCAAGCCCGAATTTTCCCACCAATGGGCGAAAATTTGGCCTAAAAATCGGAAAAACCAGGAAAATCCGAGGTGTTCCAGCGGGGTCAACGCTTGCCCACGGCCTCCTCGGGCCCTAAGAAGGATGGGACCCAGGGCCCTGTCCGTGGTTTTGGGCATTGTGTCCGGAGGGAGACGAGCTTCCGGTGGTCGTGCTCGTGGTGTTGCTGGTCGAGCCCGAAGGGGAGAGGCCCCCCAAACGAATATCTGTGGGGCCCATCTGTCATCGCGAGTGCCGACACCTCGAGCCAGGCCCTTGGCCCCGGTGGCCGAAAATGCACAATGCGCCCAACTGCCCCTCCTTTCACGGCTGAGGACGAGCCCAATATATCGAGGATGAGTTATGAGCGGCATATCCATTTTTCACGCATCTCTTGTTGATTTATGCGTTCGGCTGCTCAGGCTCTGGTGAGATTGAAATTGGGATCGAGCGTGCCGTGAGATTGAGCCGCAAATTGAGGTCAAAGGCCTATGTTTATGCAATGAATCAGAAATAAATTGGGTGGAGGGTACGGTAACTGGTTTCCATTGCTATTGACGTCGTAGAAAATCGGAATTTCCTAAGGTAGCAGCTACCTTATGTACACCATCCAAAAAAAATTTCAATTGCGTGCTTTAAAAACGCACGAATCACCGATTCGGAAGAAACTTCCAAATTAAAGGGGCTCGAAACTCGTGAATTTCTCGGCTAAAAATAATAGCAGCGGAGGTGCTGCGCATTATCGGGGGGATCCAACTTTTTTTCTTAGGACCTAATCCTCAAATATCAATAGCGGCATCAGTATTTTTAAACTGTTTTTCTACTATTCCGAAACGTGAAAACTACCAATTTTTATTCAAAAATATCGATTTTCCGACCAAAAATGAACGATTTTTACCAGATTTCATAGGTATGTCTGGTTCAAGTATCTACTTGAAATCAAGTTCGACTTTACTAAAAAAACTGCCTATTAGTTATTGTACGTTTCTAGAATACAAAAACTTCGAATAGTTTTCATGCGCCCGACTCAGAATTCCAATCAAATTCGAAGATGATGCGCGAGATTATGTCAAAAATAGTGTAAAATCGCGTAGACACCCCAGAACGTTCAAGACGGGCCCTCAAGTGCAGTATGTTCTTGGTCCGAGTAACACTGGTTTCAGAAGCCACTTGGCCGAACCCTGCCCTACTACACGTCTCTAGAAGAGGCGGCAACAGGCGCGATAGAGGGGGGAGGAGGACGAGGATGTGCCCTCATCCTCAGTGCCGAGCCGCGAGAAAATTCGGTTACGGCCCAAATGGACGGGGTCGCGAAGACGATGGCCGCTGAGAGCCGACGCCGCCAGGGGGGTGACGATGGACACAGAAGGCCAACGGGGTGGGGGAGAAGAGGCTCGCGACCGAATTACCACCCCCTTCTACCCGGGGCCCTAAAAAGCGGATGTTGGGTGAATTGGTGGGTGGCTATAAGGTTGTGGCCCATCTGTGGCATGAGGGAGATGTACGAGAAGACGTTTAGCTATACCGTAGCCGGGGAGGTGGGAATGGGGTTATGATTTAGGGGATGTTGGGGTATAAATCAAAAATTCTGAAAATCGCCTGTGGACAAAAATGACGGAAATGAGCCTAGAGGCCGGATTTTAAAAAAATTATGCAAAGAATAACTTATAGTCTTAAAAAATAAGTTAAAGAAGGCAAGTTATAAAAATAAATCGTACAGAAAAATATATAAAAAAATAGAACAATTATTCAAACCAATTTAGAATCTTTTGAATATTATTGTGTCCGTTAATGTAACTGTTAATTAAAATCCCAAATAAAAGTTATAATTACCTTTTTGTCATTTTCCAACTTAAAATACCCTCCAACCACCGAAAAACGATACCCTGATAGCCGGAAAACTAGAGGAAGGGCATTACCAGCGAGGAAGAAGCTACATCCCCCCCCCCCAAGCAAGCCCCCTCTCGGCAACAAAAAGGTGCAATATGACAGATTGGTGGCGACAGGGCTCTCAGGCGGCCCGGCCGAAGACCCAGCGCTCCCCCTCGCCCAGGGCCAAGGGCCAAAAATGGGTGGATGAGAGGGTGCGCCGGTGGGAAGAAGTCGGCCACGCGGCCCTTACGCTGAATACCTAAACGGCATTCTCAACCCAAAGAAAGCTATCCAAATAGGGTAAGCTATAGGGATTCTACTGACAACATCACTTTAAAGAGACAGAGAAAGCCGAAATTTTTGGGCCGATCCAGATGGGCAATTTTGTAGGTTCTTTCGAATTATCGGGGGGATGAAAATTTTTTTAGAGTACAATTGTTAAAATATAAATGGCGGAAGTATTTCTGTTTTTTACTATTCCTAAGCGTAAAAACTGTACAAATACCTTATTAAAATAAAAATAGATTGTTCGAACAAAATGGCAGTTTTTTTTACAAAAATTCCCTCTATAAAAAAGTTTCAAAGTTTTCTTATAGTTTTTCCAGTTTAGATCGAGTTTTATTTTGCTAAAACATCGTGAAAATACTTCATATTAGGTCGCTAGGCATTTCTAGACTTCCACAAAAAGACCGGTCAGCTATCAAAACCGCGTCAAACACTGAAGGTCAAGACATCTCTAGCTCGCCACCGGCACCGGAAATTACTCTCGCTACAATCTTTCACCCCCGCGAGCCCCCATTCTTTGCACGTACAGCGGGTATTGTCAATTTTTTATTTCTGGCTGACCCATCGAGCGGATTATCCACACAGAACTGCCGGGCGCCCCGCATTTCAGCGCGCTGTATGGGGCCCTCTAATATTTGAGGTCAACAATGGGGAATTATTGCGGAGTGGATTACGGATCAAAAACAAGTTACGGTAGTATACGGCATTTTTTGCATCATGTTCAAAAAGGGCTATTCTTCGGGTGTACGTTTTGTTTTTTGTAGTCTTGATGGCTAAAAGTTAAAATCGGATTTGTTCGGGACAAAAGGAGGTTCTGGTCCGTTAGCGCGGAGGAGGGGGTCCGGTCGCAGATTTTTTTTCGGGTTGGCTATAACGCGATCCAATAGCGTATGCAAATACACTGCCGGTCATAATTTTGGCCCACCCCAAATTTTCGTGAATTTCTCGGCCCCGTACTAATGAACGGGGAAACGCTTCAAGTATGTTATGCACGACGCCATTGAAAAACAGGGGCTTAAAGGAAATCCCGGAAAAAATTTTACATTTTGCAAAAATCCATTTTTTAGTCGATATTCCATTCTGGCAAGTGGTCATAATTTTGGCCCACCCAAAGAAACAGGGGCAAATGCACCCAAAAACAGCTTAAAATTTTATTCACTCAATGAATTAATAATCGATTGGTCCACCCGAACAATGGATTATTTGGAAAAGTCGATTGTCCAGGCTCATGATCAGGATACCGATGCGCTGCTGCGCGAGGGTCAGCCAAGCCTCTAAGCTCGCCTTCTTGGGTGATCTAACGTCTTGATAGGGATTATTTTTGAAGCAGAGCATTGTCAACGTGTAGCCCCAACTGTGTTTTATTCAATCGCGACGCGGGAATTGATTACCCGCGCAAAAAGTGGAATTCCGTGACGTCGGAATCTCGAATTTGAGCGGTTTTCCTGATCAATCGAGGCATTAATTTGCCGGACACGAAGTTCTCGCCCGGATTTGGCCGGGTAAATGGTCGCGGCGATCGTCGGGAGGTGTACTCGTACTGGTTCTGGTTTATCTTCTTGGAGACTTATGCTTCCAGTCAAGCAGCTGGGGTCAACGGCCGTCACATCCCATTTCCTAGAATTTCGTCGTGAGAAGAGCAAATTTTGCACCCGTCGGTTGGTGCCAATCAAACCGCGAGCCATCAGGAGCATAGCCACAAATTCCCAGACACCAGACTTCAAGAGCTAAGGCTTTGCGACTCAGCTTTCCTTCCACTGTGCAGTGTGGCTCAAACTCGGTTTTGCTCAACCTCATCTCCAAGAGGATAAACTAGAACCAGTACGAGTACACCTCCGGACGATCGCCGCGACCATTTATTCGGCCAAATCCGGGCGAGAACTTCGTGTCCGGCAAATTAATGCCTCGATTGATCAGGAAAACCGCTCAAATTCGAGATTCCGACGTCACGGAATTCCACTTTTTGCGCGGGTAATCAATTCCCGCGTCGCGATTGAATAAAACACAGTTGGGACTACACGTTGACAATGCTCTGCTTCAAAAATAACCCCTATCAAGACGTTAGATCACCCAAGAAGGCGAGCTTAGAGGCTTGGCTGACCCTCGCGCAGCAGCGCATCGGTATCCTGATCATGAGCCTGGACAATCGACTTTTCCAAATAATCCATTGTTCGGGTGGACCAATCGATTATTAATTCATTGAGTGAATAAAATTTTAAGCTGTTTTTGGGTGCATTTGCCCCTGTTTCTTTGGGTGGGCCAAAATTATGACCACTTGCCAGAATGGAATATCGACTAAAAAATGGATTTTTGCAAAATGTAAAATTTTTTCCGGGATTTCCTTTAAGCCCCTGTTTTTCAATGGTGTCGTGCATAACATACTTGAAGCGTTTCCCCGTTCATTAGTACGGGGCCGAGAAATTCACGAAAATTTGGGGTGGGCCAAAATTATGTCCGGCAGTGTATACTAAGATTTTTAATTACAGCCTAAAATACTGTAGTCTCAAACAAAAATGGCAAAAGAATAAAAAAATCATGCGAGTTTTAAGCGCAGCTGAAAATAACGTTCTAAAATTCAGCTCAAAGAAAAAAAATCATCGACGAAATATGTTTCCACCCATGACCCATCAGATATTCAACTTTTACCGTAGATTCGGACGACTAAAATGTTTGAAACATTTTACTAAAATCGCCTATCGAGTCGTAGAAGTTGCTAGTGTAACCAGGAGAATTTGGTCGCTAACGAACCTGGCCAAAAAACGGCTAAAGCTAGACTAGTAGGAGCTGGCCAGCCAAAGGCCACCACGTCCACGCTAATGAACAATCCTTAGGGCCCAGAAACCAGCGGCTAATTCCGTGACACAGTGGGTCGGGCCCCCACATTTTTTCCAGCGGGCCCCACACATGAACGTGAAATTCGAGTAAATAAGAGGTGTTGGGGGAACGAGCCGCGTGGCGCGCGACCGCCACTGAAATATAGCCACGGGGGACAAAGCCGCCGCGGGCCCTACGGCATTTTGAGGGGCACCGCCTCCGGCTCGTCAGGCCCGAGAGGTGGGTGAAAAGCGACCCCAAATCACATTATGCCCCCAGAAGGGCTGTGTGAGGAGCCGGGGACAGTTGAGAAAGAACCTCCGCCTCCTCCTGAAAAATGGGCACCCTCCACGTCTGGAGACGGCTTCCGCAATGGGATTGAGACCGAGATTTCAAATGGAGGGCAAGATGGGAGAAGCATAAAAAGGGATTCGTGTCTATGTCTGGTGCCGGGAGAAAGGTACGACGAAAGCAACCTATTTACAGGAAGAAATCTCGTTTTGGGCTTAAATCCGGTGAAATGGCTAGACGCCTGGATGCGGAACAAGGGTCGTATTGGGAACAATCAAGGGCCAGTAATTCCCTAGTCCTAAATTTCACTTAACCGAACTTTTTGGTATACGCCATGAATGTCTAGTAACTTCATAGAAATTTTTTTAATAATGTTTTAGTAAAATATGACTATAAAGCAACGTCAAAAAATGCCTAAAAATCGAAATATATCTTAGTAAAAATTAGGCCATTTTTGGTCGAAAACTCATTAATTCCGCTATTTTTTCATACAATTTGTTAAAATTTTCGCGTTTAGGAATAATAAAAAAACCGTTTAGAAATACTTCCAACAAAAAATCCAAAAATTGAGAAACATGAATACAAAGCTGGGAAGCGGAAAGGTTCGCCGAAACGTCCATATGAACATGGGAAACTAATCCCTCGGACTTTGCGCGAACAGCGAATGCATTTCCCTTCCCGAAAGCACGACAAATGATGGCTTAGGAACTCGGCTTTCAAAGACGGGCACAACCTAGAGAAGATAACAAACAACAGAGCTTTCCCGCTCCTTTTTTGTTTACTTTATTTCTGACCTATCCCCAGTAAATATACCAAATACCTACACCCCCTACGAATTAAAATACCCTATAAATATGCCGAAACAGCGACTAATGATGCCTGACGAAATGCCGATTTTAGCCACAGGAGGCTCCCCAATAGGCGATGGATGGCAACATAGCATCAAATTACGTAGAACGTGTGGCGACGCCTGGCTAAGCAACAAGGAAACGAAATGAGGGAGCAGAAATGTTCTCAGATATAAGAGGAGAGGGTAGCCGCGAAGTTAAGATAAATTTACGAGGTAGAGGGAATTGGCAAAATTATAGGAGCGTAATACGCTAATTGTAAGGTGCCGAGCAGAATTCGGAAAATCAAACCCACATTCTATCCGATCCAGTAAAATCGAACCATCCGGCGTCGTTGTGACTGTCTTGGTACGGGCCGAGTTTCACCTAAATTTGTCCGCAATTTCTTAGCAAAAGCACAACAATACCTGTTTGCTGTAAGCCATAAATTGAAGTCGGTCCTCGTAAGCGACAACCAGGTTCCCATTGCCCTCGGATTCTAAAGAAAAACCAGTTATGAGCCTAGGCAGCAAAGAACTAGCCCGGATTTTCTATTTCCGCGAATTCACGAACCTTTATAGTATTTTACAGCCTTTTTGTACAGCTCTTCAAGGGGTAGCCCCCACTCTTTTTCGATCATAGCCTTCTCGCTGAGCGTCACCTCGGCCTCGCTCATTTTTGGCCTGAAAATGATGAATAGAATAGTCTAATGGTCTTGAGAGCGAAAAATGAGGGTTGATTCCAAAAGAAGACCTATATAAGGGCAGCCTTTATGGTTCTAGAAAGCCTCCGGAAACCAGCCAACCTTCAAAACGGCACCAAAAGGCGCCCGCTACTATAGCAACGAAAAAGACTAGTTCAAAGAGCCTGTAATTCAATTTTCGCGCAACAAACTACAGCACTCCACGTTGAATACTTTTAGTTATCGCTGGCGGCACAGAGGCCAGGAGATCCAGCTGGGACCGATGGGAACTAGAAAGACTGGAAGAGATCGTGAGAGAGCGAGAGAGAAGGGGTAGCCAGGTACCGAACGGGGACAGCTAACCGGCAAGTTTTTGTGCAACAGTTGTTCAAAGATGCCAATATTATTTATTCAACATAATACATGTGAAAGCGAAGTCAAAAGATTAGAAATACAATAAGTACAGAAACGAAGAATGGTTTTACAAAGAATTCTGCTCCAAATGGTCGCCAATCTGCAAGTTCTCGCTAATCGTGGCCGCGATCGTCTTTGCTGTCTCGTGGTCCAGTACGCATTTGAACTTGGGCTGGCTCAAATTGGAAAGGTTGCTGGTTCTTTGCAGCAGACCGAGCGCTTGAAGTGAAGATAACTGAAAATTATAGTTTAAGCTACTCTGTCCAATCCAAATAACGTGGGCACCCTAAAAACAAAAAAAAAACGACACACCTGAACCCGTACATCAGTCTTCAATAATAGATCCTTGTCTGTCGGCGCATAGATGTTGATTAGAGAAACGAAGATCATTTTTGCTCTAGAAAAAAACGGGCTTGTTAGGGATTCAGAAATTACCTGGTCAACTCGAATTGCCGTATATCAGGTCCTGCGGTCTCTCGAAGCATTGCTGCATGACGCTCGCGTTGGTGGCTTCGTTTTTCTTTCCCGTGGTGCTGAAAATAATCTTAAAACAGTGAAAAATTCAACTACCTTTGAGAAGTATCGGCTATCAGACGCAGGCGCGTTCTGACTGGCAAAGAACGAGGCTAGGAGGACATATCTAAAATAAAGTTATTTTTAGTTAGGCGTTCTAACCGAGCGGCCAACGGTAAGGGGCTTGTCTTCAGAGTTAGCTTCTTGGCCTCGGCGACAAGTCGTCGGAGCGTCTCTTGTTTTTGCTAAATGAGAATGGGAAACCAAGAAAACAAGAATTACGACTTGTTGAATACATTCTTTCGCGAGCTTCAAGTCAATTTTGCCGCCATCGTACGGAATGTTCCTCTCCTCACAGACGCTTTTATAGTTTTCCCAAGCGTCATAGACCTAAAATATAAACTTCGCAAAAGAGTTCAATTACCTTGGGTTGCAATTTGTTGACTTCAATGCAATACAGGCTGCACATTTCCACACACAACCGGATGAACGTTTTCGGAATCGTCGAAAGGGCCTCGGCTATCAGCGTGTATATTTCTTCTGCAAACAAGCTATCATCAAGACTACAAAAACTCGAAACCTGTCGTTGGAGGGTAAACCGGAATGACGATCGGGTCAGAGATCAACTCGCCAGTGTTCGCAACGTTCGACCAATGCAATTCTCCCGAGGAGACGATGCGAAAGAAGTGGTTTACCTAAAAACCGATCTAAAAAAAACAATAAAAAAATTACCTCTGGTGGAAGTCGGAAAAAACGCTTCAGATCGCTGTGGGAAAAGAGTTGTAGCGCATCCGCTTCAAGCAGCACCAGGTAAATTCGCCGTCCATGTGGGCCAGCATGCAACGAATTGAGCGCATCAGCCAACTCGGCGAAGGTGTGAAACTAAAAAAACACTACAAAAAATTGTGCAAAAAATACCTCTTCTTTTCGCGTCGCCAGGCCCAACTGCTTTTGCAAGAGGGCAAAGAATTTCTTGAGGCTGCCCTCCAGATACAGACAGTTCACCTTCAGAATCACCTAAACGAAACGATTTTGATGTATCAAAACACATTGCAGGTTGATTTCTCAAAACTAGTTACCGCGTCTTTGACAGTGTGCCCTTGTTCATCTTTGACCAATCCTCCCTTGATTGCCTTGAATGCCAATTCGATATACTCATTGACGCCAGATATACGCGGGCCGTAGAAATGTATGTGGTCGAGCTGAAACGGGATTTTCCTGCATTACTCTAGAAAAATTACCGAACCACACGGATTGGTGATGACATCGAAAATTTGCTTTTCGGCGTTTTTCCACGAAAGCCTTTCCCGGGCAGACGCAGATCGGTGCGTCTCGTCAGCGACCATCGATGGAAGCTTCCTGTAAATTCTGTTAAGAAAAAAAATCGACATGTAAAGCCAGAAAACATTGGAAAGCAAGTTGTTGCCACAACAACAATTGAGACAACAATAGAAACAATAGAAAGCCGTTCGGCTGCCGGAGTTCATTTCATAGAGGCAAAGAGTTACATCAAACAGCGAAAACCACGTCCAAGTCGATCAATTTTGGAAATGTAGTAAAAGTGAGAATTTTCAGGATTTGGAAAATCGGAAAAAGCCGCCCGAACTGTTCCGTAACATTTCACCGAACGGATTCCGTACGGATTGTTCGGTGAAATTCCGATCCGTGCCGCTTCAGCTTACAAAAAACGTCTTGTGGCGTGCAACGGAACGGCTACGCGATTTTCGTGCATCCCCTTTTTCTGCGGTTTTTTTAGGCTATTTTTCCAAGTATTTCATTGTGTTCAGTTCATGTCAGCAAATCCAAATAAACGACTTTGGATCCTTTCTCGCTGCTTTCTATCCCCAAAGCGTTGAATTTTGGCGCTAATCGGCCCCTGCTTGGCGTTTGAGTTCGAGCCGGCCCCCCTCGTCGCCTATTCAGCGGACCGCCGCCCCATGGGCTTACGATCGCCCTTTTGAAAGGCGCGATGATAATGTGGGCCGTTCGCGAACACGACGTCAAATTCGTGGATTTCGTTTCTACAAAGAAACGATGACGTTTTCGCAAAAAGGATCTGTAAGCAGCACTCGATTCCTTGTCTTGATTCCACCTGGATAGCTTATTAGAGCGGTATATGTCGGCTACGCGGGGGGGGGAAAATTTTACGCGGGGGGGACGGGACAGGCAGGCCTTTTTGGATGTTCTCGTTATTTTCTCGGAATTTTTTCAACGGCATTCGATAGAGCCCCGAAAAATATACTAAGAGTTTTTGTTTTAGCTCAAATTAGTGTAATATAAAAAAGTTATGGCAAATACAAAAATAAGCTTTGAAAATCGGTTTGAGCGGCTGTTTTTTGACATTCGCGCTATTTTTTCGACATTTTAAAGATGCCATTCGATAGAGCATCCAAAAATATACTAAGAGTTTTAATTTTAGCTCAAAATAATGTAATATAAAATAGTTATAACAAAAACAAGTATTAAACGTTGTTTCCATGGAGGACAGAAGGAAATCAAGTTTTCGACATTTTCGACATTTTTACAAAATTTCTTTAGTGCCATTCGACAGAGCGTCGAAAAATATACTCAGAGTTTTGTTTGTAGCAAAAAGAAACGCAAAAAAATAGTTAGCTCGGCCCCAATAGTCCGTCCCCCCCGCGTAAAATTTCCCCCCCCGCGTAGCCGACATATACCTATTAGAGCTATGTCTAGAAACTTCGGCGCCTTACTATTTTGGACGATCCGAACGCAATTGGGCGAAAAAACGGCAAAATTGCCGAAATTCTGCGCCCACGGTTCCGCTACAATTACCTAAATTCTCCTTGTTCGTTTCTGCTGCCTTTCATCGAAATCCTGAATGATACCATTGATGCTGAATTTTTCAGGAATGGCGCTCATCAAAGAAAAGTTCACGGAGATGCTGCATTTCGTCTTCCCGGACAATTGTTTCGAGGTGAGCCATAAATTTTAAGGGAAAAGCTTGTTCTAGGAGCTCTTGATCAACTACGACATCTTCCACCCCGTATGCACGAAAATGGTGCTATCACGAGTGCTCGGACTGGCCATCACGGCTGGCTCGGTAGATTGGAACTTTCGTGTTGAGAAATCCTTTTAGGTAGCCCTCTTCATTCCTCAAATCCTGAAGATCGCTGCGTCCAAGAGTGGCAAGGGGATCAGCTTCCTCGCACAGCTGTTGACTTTGATCGGAGCTGCCGGGACCGCAGCCTACTCGTTTGACCAAGGCTTCGTCTTTTCGCAGTGGGGCGATGCGCTCTTCTCGTCCATTCAGCTCGTGATCATCTGCATGCAGCTGCTCTACTATGGTGCGCCATTTCAAATTTTGAAAAAAAAACGTGGCTTTTCTTTCAGAGGGTCAATCGTTGCTCGCGGTTTTGTTCGCCTTGTTGTGGGGCGGATTTACTTGGGCCGTCTACCAACATATGGTCCCTTCAACCGTCCTCGCTGGGATTCTCTCTGCCGGCACAATCATTGTCATCGTCGCTAAGGGCCTCCAGGTATCGATTGAAACAAGTTCAGAAAATTCCCGTTTCTTTTAGATCCATCAGAACTGCTCCCAGGGGTCAACCGGGCAGCTCGCCTTCATCACCGTCTTCCTCCAATTCGCTGGCTGCCTGGCTCGCGTTTTCACCACCATGCAGGTAGGTATAATTGTATTTACCTTGCACTGTTGATGGCAATTGGTCTTTACAAGTTTGCTCACGCTTTTCAGGAGACGACCGACACCCAGCTCATCTTCCAGTTTGCACTGGCCACCTTCCTCAACGGCATCATCTTTGCCCAACTGCTCGTCTACTGGAACAGCGACATTGCCAAGAAACGCCGCTAAACACTTATTTCCCGCTCGTTTCATGTTGTTATCTTTTCAATACCCACATTTTCAGCTCCGCGCAAATTATTGTCTTCCATACGTTCCCTTTGCCATCTGACTGTGATTTGCCAACGCGTTATTCGGGCAGATTCTTATGTTGCACCACGTTTCGGACCCAGACCCGCATTCTTACCACAATATTTTCAATCTCGTTTATTTCGTGTTCTCTTTGTATAAATCGAACTCCAATTGTCTTTGTTTTTCAGATAGGCGGACACGATGGCGCCTCGGAACGACTCAACCAAGGAAAAGGCCGACGCGAAGCCCTCCGCTACTGAGGTAACGTTTTTTTCCGGAAATTCTTACTTACTGCGTCATTTTTTTTCAGCTAAAATGCTTACATTTTCCTTTTCAACTCTGGTTTTCAGGTGATCAAGCAGCTGGCCGGTCCCAATCTCCATTGCACCTCCACCGTGCACACCAACCTGCCCGTCACCAAGGTTCGAGGATTATTCGGAATTTTTTAAAACAAAACGCCTGCAACAAACTAGGATCTAAATGCATTTTTTAGGTGACTGTCCACCCGCTTGTGCTCCTCTCCGTCGTCGACCATTTCAACCGCGTCAGCAAGAGCACCTCCGTGAAGCGAGTAGTCGGCGTGCTCCTCGGCTCGATGCGCAACGGCAAGGAGCTCGACATCGGCAATTCGTTCGCTGGTTGGTAGGGTTTGAAATTCTGACAACGACATTTTAGCCTTTTCCTATACCTTTTTTTTAGTTCCTTTCGATGAGGATGAGAAGGACAAGTCGACGTGGTTCCTCGACATGGACTACCTCGAGTCGATGTACTCGATGTTCTACAAGGTGGCCGCCAAGGAGAAGATTGTTGGATGGTACCACACCGGGCCCAAGCTTCACAAGGTTTAGAAAGTCAAACTAATCTTTTAGTCTTTTTTTTAGAACGACATTGCCATCAGCGAGCAAATGAAGCGCTTCTGCCCCCACCCTGTGCTCGTCATCATCGAGGCTGAGCCCAAGCAAATTGGATTGCCGACTGAAGCCTATGTCGAGGTTCAAGAAGTGCACGATGTGGGTATCTTGAATTGGATTGGTTCAAATTCTTTTTGTATGGTTTGTTGCTGCTGCTGTGTCCTGCTTTTCACAACCTTCATTTTCTAGGACGGCACACCCCCGATCAAGACGTTTGAGCACGTGCCTTCAGATATTGGCGCTGAGGAGGCTGAAGAAGTCGGAGTCGAGCACTTGTTAAGGTATTTCTTATGCCTCGTTTTTTGATTCGACTTTTTTACAGGGACATCAAGGACCAGACGGCCGGCACCCTATCTCAACGGATCACCGACCAGCTGATGGGGCTGCGTGGCCTCCATTCTCAGCTGACCGATGTGAGTGGCGAATTTGTCCTGCTACCGCTTTTTTTAATTCTTGGTAACGTTTTGTTTGTTTCAGATCAAGCGCTACTTGGGCGAGGTGGCAGCAGGACGACTCCCTGTCAACCATCCCGTCATCTACTACATTCAGGTAAAAACGTTTGCCTTTTCGAATTTGTGCTTGAAAGATACCTGGAGATGAAAGTGGTTTCATATGCAATTTTCTATTTTTTAGGAGGTACTGAACCTGTTGCCCGACGTCTCGCACCCGGAGTTTGTCGAGGCGCAAAACGTGCAGACGAACGACCAACTGCTCTGTGTCTACATGGGCTCCCTGGTCCGTGCCATCATCGCCCTCCACAATCTGATCGACAACAAGATTGCTCTCCAAAAGGCTGAACGCGATAAGGACGGGCTTGACGGTAAGCTAAGTTTGAAAAACAGATTTTTCTTCTAGGATTCTCTATAAATGGTCTCACTACATATTCTTTTTTTAGGAGAGAAAATCGAAAAGAAGAAGGACGAAAAGAAAAAGGAAGAAATTGGCAAAGATGCGAAAAAGGTTGAGGAGAAGAAGAAGCTCCGCTAATTTATTCCCGGTCCTTTATTATTCTTTTTTTTTGTGTGTGGTCAATGATCTGGTGTTGCGATTAATGTTTTGATGAGCCTTTTGTTAGCTCCAATTCTTTCTCTCTCCTCTGCACCAATTCTCGTTTCTTTTTCATCATTAGTCTCGTCGAATCCATTGTGCATATGGGACACGCGTGGTATATATACCGTTTCTTGCATAAATTTATGACGTCAATGTGGTGGTGGGCGAAACAGGGCAATGAGTAAACTGCTGAAACTGATACCTTCTGAAAGTCGACACATTTTAGAGTAGTTGCTAAGAATTGTGTGTTCCAGAATGATGATTTTTAGTTAGTTCAACGCTTTTGACTTTGACCATGGATGATGACGTAGATTATGGCGACGCTTCACGCTACGTCAACGACGTCTCAATCGAATTAGCCTGGGCAGCAAAGGTGCAGTTTTCGCAAAAATTGTCGCCTTGGCGCCAAAGCGTTATAAGGAGTGTTGTGGGCCAAAACCGTGTATTTCCATTGCAAATTCCCTTTTTCAGGCATACGAACGGGCCGGCGTACATATGAACCTGCTAATGTCGTGCAAGACGGATGGGTTGCGGCTTCACCGCGAACATGACGAAGTCTACCAGGCCTTCCGTGCGGGCTGGCCCGATCTCGACGTTCAAGCGGTATTGTTGCCTTTATTGGGTTTGTAATCGTCTTCCCTAGATTACCGAAGACGACCTGAAATCAGAGGATGCGAAGAATCGGTGGCGAGAGTTCTGCGATAAGTTTAAGGTTTGTTACTATCCGGTTTTTGCGCGAAAGGTACAACATCTATACGTTAAATTTGATTTGATATTTCTGACTTAGTTTGTCAGGATTATTGACCGCAAGCTGTCGTTCTTGGCAAGAAGTTTTTTTCTAGGAAGTCGACGATTTCAACCTGGGTACGTTACTACGAAAGGATGCCGGACAGGCTTACACCGAGAACAACTGCATCATTGCCCCGAAGATAATTTTCCTCGCAATCGAGGGTGCCCGTAACCGCGAAGGGATCAATGAACGGAATAAAGAATCCTACATTGCCGACTATAAAAGAAGGTATTTTATTTTATAGTTTGTTCGGTGTTTTATTCTTCCATTAACTTTTCGGCGCTATTTCGGAATAGGGGACCCACTTTGATTGTACCAAAACTGGGGTTTTTTGCGATGCTTTCTTGGATAGTTTTGTGCGCTGGTTCCGAAAAGAACACCATACTAACTTTAAAACCTAATATTTTCACACAAAAAATTGATTTTAGTTTAATGGGCTTCTAGGGAACCTGGCGGCGCAGGCCCGACTGTTGGCTACAATACACTCCTAGCTCCGTTTTTCAAGCTGAAAACGCATGCATAAATGATGCTAAATGCTAGTAAGCCCGATCTTCGATTCATTGAGACCAAGCCTAGGCCAGCCAGGTGAATCTGACTGAAGTCAAGCTCTAGCCGAAAAATATAATAACTCAAGCGGGTTGCTCAAGCGGGTGCATTGTGCTGGCTAAGCCAAGACCGCCCGCGCTGTCCTATAAACATCTTATAAAGATAAAATATTTTGTACAAATGTGCGTTTTTACGGGCTGGGATACCGTTGTTCAGAACAAGCGCACAAAATTACACCTGAAAAAGTGGTTTTTAGAGTAATCAAAGTGGGTCCCCTATTCCGAAATAGCGCCAACTTTTCCTTTTTTAGTGAAGCCGTCGCGGCCTCGATGCGGTGAGATGAGCCCACAAAACGATACGAAAACCCGTTGCCTCCCCGCGTTGTTATTCCTTCTTGTTGAAATGTTCCGTTATACCCGTTGCCCATTCAATCTACGTCAAAATGGTGTGTTTCCCGTCCCAGGCCCAATCCTCTATCAAAACTTTGACTCGCGCTTCCAACTTTTCATTGTTTCCGTTACTTCTATTCTCCACCCGCCGATTGGAATGCTTGATCTGGTTGACCGTTTGCACAATGTTGTTCTTGTTTTTTATTCCGTCGTGTTCGGAAAAAATAAACGAATTTCGTGAGTTGCTGCGATGAATTGCGATCTTCCGATGAGCTCGGCTGCGAATTTTTGAGTTTTGGAAATATTTTGTCAAACTTTCTTTCCTTTTTCAAATTTGTTTTCTTGACGATTGTCTTTTCAGGAAATGAGCTTTTCCTTCGGCCAGTCGACGCCGGCAGCAAGTTCGGCGGGCGGTGGACTTTTCGGCTCGACGGCGCCGGCCTCTACATCTACGCCGCTTTTCGGGGCCACCGCTGCTGCTCCTTCAACGGCACCACTTTTTGGTACGTCAGCTTTGACTATAGAATTCCTGGGATCCAAGCTCGTTATTTTTTCGTTTCGGATCGACTTCACGTTTTTCAGGTTCGGCGACCCCAGCGGCTAGCACTGCACCTGCTGCCGGTCTGTTTGGCGCCCCTCAAAGTGCAGCTCCAGCGCTTGGCACTGGTTTGTTTATTGTCACCAACACTTGACGCCTTTTTTTTAGGCAGTCTCTTTGGTTCGACCCCGTCTGCAACGACCGCATCAATGCCGCTTTTCGGTAAATCATTGAAAAATACCTCCAAAAATTCTTAGGCGCCGCCACGGCTCCGGCCACCACATCTACACCACTATTTGGTAGGCTTTTCTGAATATTTGGCTTTGTAGGGCTTCTGAAAGGACCGTTTTGTCGGAGCGAGACGATAATATGACCTTTGATAATTTCTTGTTAGGGGCTACGGCGTCCCCGAAACCAGCTACCGGTGGGCTTTTTGGCGCAGCGGCTCCGGCAACAGGTTCCATGGTTTTTAATTCCTAAAACCCTTTTTAGGAAGCCTTTTTGGGAGTCCCAGCACAACAGCCGCGATGGGCGGCCTTTTTGGCGCGACTACGACCACGCCTGCTACCACTTTCGCAGCGCCCGCTCCTGCTCCGTCAAGCGTCGGCCTTGGAGGTGTGTTTTTGGCTGAATACTTGCTGTTTCAGGAGAGCTGAAAATACCGCCGTTTTTGCTTTTTCAGGCAACAACTCGCACATTCAACAGACTCTGGCCGCCGCTACTATTCCACAGGCGGACCCCGAGAAGGAAAAGGCCGGTGTCAAGGAGGGTGACGTGCCGCCAGTTCTGCTCAACACCTACAATGAAGTGCGAAAGAAGCTCGACCAGCAGCAGGCCCTCATCAGAAAGTTCGAGATCCGGGGCGACGACGGGACGGCTGAGGTTGATGCAAAGATCAGACAGGTTCGAGTCTCTTTTTCTTGAAACGCGAGAGTTATATATCTATTCAACATCATCTATTCCTCGCGCGTACCAATTTTGCGTGATTTTTCGAAAGACTTCGATTTTTCGAAAAAAGCTTTATCTCGGCGCTTACCGTACCTCGAGGACCGACTTAAAGACTACCAGAACGATGGAACGCGCACTGTCACCCCAAGGGTGGGCCGCCAAGAACGCGCGGTGAGAGGCGTCATTAGTGGTGCCCCGTATTGGTCAAGGCCCTCTGGGGTTTGGGGCGCCTCTGACTCCCTTCCCCACTTCGCCCTGTGGTATAGTGGCTAGCGCGTCGGACTGTGGAGCGAACCATCGCGGGTTCGACCCCCCGCCGGGTGCGCAACTTTCTTGCTTTCAACGGAATTTCATCGTTCTGACGGTCTTTAAAAATCTTAAAAATTTCTAATATCCCCATCGACAGCACTTTATTTCTAATCCTATAATTTTCAGCTGACGACCCGGCTGGACGACTTGAAGCAGCGGATGAACGGATCGCAGCGCGCCGCCGAGGCAACGATGGAGGAAATTGGCCGCGACGAGCAGATGATTCGCGTGCTCTGCCACGCGAACCGCGCCGTCACCCCCATCTCGACCAAGCACACCCAGCACGTCCTCATCTCGTTCATGGAGCATTTGGTGGCCGAGAGTCGGAATCGTGTCGATGCCCTTGAGAAGTCGCTGACCACGATGATCGAGCAGGTCAACGCGGCGCGAAATGGGCACCACGGGATGGACGTTGAGGCGCTGAAGGCCCACTTGGAGAGGTGCTGACTTTTTGCTATCTTTTAAGCCGATCGCTTACACATTTTTACGCGCCGAAACTCGCGGAACGGAGTTGATTTAGGCAATTTCTGTTTTCCAGATTCGATCATGCGTTCACCGGCACCGCAAATCGCCTCTTCGAGTACAACCAACGGATCGAGATGCTGAAGGACGACTTCCTGCGCAGCGACCCCCGACTCGCACTTTCTGGCCGGAACCCGTTCACCAAGATTCGCAACACTGAGCCCGAACCACCGATCAGCTCATTTGAAGAAATCCGAGGTACCCGATTTCGGAATCGAATTGAGTTCTAAGATAACTTGACTGTTTCGATGGTCACCCGACTTTTGTGAGCGCTAGATTCGTTTTATGCCTCTTTTTCAGGCCCCGAAGTGATGCCGAACAACGCCACGCTCCTCCGCGTCAGCCAGCTGATCCACCAGGCTGGCCAGCAACAGCCCGCGGCTACGGCTGTAAAACCGACCACCGGCACCACGGGTTTCTTCGGTAGTCTCAACACACAGGGTCAGTTTTGTCTCTAGAATAGATAAAATCGTATACAAATCATTTGGAAAGACTCATATAATATTATCCGTTATAACAAGTCGATAAAAATGTCAAATTAACTCAATTCTATCAGCTGATTTTTTTTCCAGCGGCCCCTTCATTGTTCGGGTCGACTACAACGGCCGCCAAGCCGTTATTCGGTTCAACTGGCGCTGCTCCATCCTCTGGCTCACTCTTTGGATCCCCGTCCGCTGGAGGTATTTATTGATTTTTGTTTTATTTTATCAAATTATATTTTCAGCCTCTACCTCCCTCTTCGGCGCTACTGCCACGTCTACAGCCGCTCCTACAACTTCGAGCAGCGCTTCTTTCTTCCCCTCGTTTTCCACGCCAACTACATCCACTGCCACCGCGGCGAACAACGCCTTTGGAAAGCAGTACGTTTTAGAACGTTCAAGCAGTTGGATAGTAAAATCGGCAGCTTTCAATGCGATACAACAATTGCCATCTTTTCAGCATCACGACACAGAGCTCGGGTCTTCTGTTCAGCAGCAAGCCGTTCGGGAAATAAGCAAGCACATCCCCCATACTCTATTTGTTGCCTCATCGATCTCTCTTCTTAGTTATGCCTTTCCTGATGTTATAACGTTCCTCCTCCCCACTTTACCCCCATTTTCTAGCTGCCAATGTTGTGAGGATTTGTTATCCGAATTTATGATAAAGATTCAAAGATTATAGGGCCTATTAACGAACTGTTGCTCAAGCGGATGTGCCTCGACACTTTTCGTAGGTTTGTGTATCTAAAAAAAGAACAAAGGAAAACAATTTCTTTATAACGCGAGGACGAATAAACCTCTATCCAGCTGTTCAAGCCTTTCTTCTTGCCGCCCATGCCCCCTGTCACCAAATAGCAGGTCGGGGTTGGGAAATAACCGGTCGGTATGATGGTCATGCTCTTCATAAGGGAGAAAAAGCTTGAAACTGATAAAATTTTGCAAGTTTTCTTGTCTAATACAGAAACTTTGTGTTCGGGTTTTTTATAGCAGGGCTTACCGCATCGCGACGTAGCTACGAATTTTTGAAAACAAGGGTTTTATAAATTTGCTGTATATATGAGATTCTTTTTGACTGTTTCATTCTATTTACGATTATTTTCATAGCAATAGTTTAACGTAGTACCTTTCCAGGTCGACCCGCGATGGCGACAAAATTTGAAAGCTGGAACGACCTGAAGAAAGGCGCGACCCTCAGCGATGTGGCAAGCAAAACTATGAAAAAGGCGACATTCGAAGAGTTTGTGAAAAAAACTTGCCGAATAAGCGGTTTTTAGCAACTTCAAGCGTGTCGCCACGCTGGTCACCCATGCGAAAAAGTTTGAACAGGACGGTGACAAGGAGAACGCGTACGTGTTCTTCACCCGCGCATGCGAGGTCGCCAACTTTGTGCGGACACAGGCGAGACCGGGGAGTACACCCGAGGTTTGTGGCACTAAAAGTACCCGAAAATCTGCTTTAGGCGAAGAGGAAGCAACTACACGAGTTTTTCAAATTCGCCCTGGCAAAATGCGAAGAACTTCAAGAATTTTTGAGGGAATTTTATGTTCCTACGACGTCTCCATCCACGATATCGAGCGTACAGCCAGTTAAACCGAAGCCAGCTGTCGCCGGCCCTCCAGCCTATCATCGTACATTTCTTTGTTAGAAATTATTGTTTTTAGTTGACGATTACATACAGCGAGGGCGAATTACTCCGAAAGAATTGGTGCGCGCCATAAATGCCGCTGGCGGCTCGAAAAGTGCAATTATTATTGATTATAGGCAAGTAGCGTAAATATCGTGGTCACCTTTACTTTAGGAAAACTCGAAATCGCGTCGTCAAATACGACAAGCCACTACATATAGAGGTGGTCCAGGTTCCGGAGGAGATCATCGAGCCCGGGTGAGATGCGGATTTCATGGATTTACACCGGAAATTTAGCGTGATCTATGCGACGATGTCTCAAAAAATAGCGCCGCCATCGGAACGCACGAAACTCAGCCAAATCGCGCGCTACGATTTGGTGGTTTTAATGGAGGACGGAGATCCGGTACGTACTTTTGACATAGAAGACTTACAGTTAGAGTGACAGAAGTAGATTCTTTTCTACCAGGTTTTTCGGTACTGGACTGTTAGCAGGGGGGAATGTATGGAAAATGACCAAAAAAGTAAAAAACTTCGTATTTTTAAAATATTTGTTGAAATTTCTGGCAAACAAAAACTACGAAAAACGTTTTATCAATCCACTTTTGATTAAACCGGTTTAACAGTACTGGTTTTCCATGCCCTTATTTGTATATGGCGGCAATTTGCATTAATTTTTTGTGTTTAGAAAATGGATGGCGGCGGCCAGTTGATACATGGTTCAAAGGCGCTGTTTTTACGAGAAGCTCTTTCCACGGTGCAGTTTTCTTTTGGCGAATCACACATTTGATGTTTAGTACGGGTCGCTGAAATTGAAAAATCGCCCGCTAACGATGGATGGCGGCTTTGCGGCCTGGGAGCGGAATTATCGGGTTTACACCGAGGTATAATTTTGTTGGCACTTTCATTAGACTGTCCTTATTTAGGAAGCGAACAAGAAGGCAGAAGTTGACTCATCAGCATCCATGGCCGCCTTGATCAGTAGCAGAAGTCGCGAGGAGGAAGAGCCGTCCAGTGAGAGCCACAGCACCCTCAACTATGCCTTCTCCCCGAGAGGTTCGAACCTTTTGTGCCCTCCATCTCGCACCTAGATCCATATCCCCGGCTGTCCGATTACGAATCGCAGCCGTTACCCAACGAGCGCGTTTTTGGGCCTCCTGGTCAGTTTTTGGAAGATTTCTGGGCTCTTGACTGTTAGCGGGGGGCAGGGGGGGCTAGCTTTAGACATTTAGCTCCATAGCGTCTCGATAATGCAATGCACGCCATTAAGTGTCTTTTTGCGCCTTTTTAATTGGGCAAAACTAAAAAAATCCAGAAAGCGCTAAAAATTTACTAGGATTTCGGTTATTACACCTTTTTAATTCTGGGTGCTATAAATAGAGCTAGCCGGTTGAAATTTTTTGATTTTGTCCACGAATTATGAAAATAGTGAAAAAATTGCCTATTTGTAAAATTATCTGAAAAATGACTTTTTTTTAATCAAAATCTACGTAAAACTATAAAACTACACTAAAAACTTTTATAAATACGCTGGACAGCTCCCCCGCTAACAGTACAGTACCCCGATTCTTTTAACACCCCGACAAAATTGGAATCGATTTTATCTTAAGAATTGATTGGTGAAACCTCGACGAGCAGTGACGATGAACGGAAGCGCAGTAGCTCGCGGCGCAACAGAGATTATGGTAGTAATTGTACAGACAGAAAAAAGGAAGAACACTCTTTATTCCAGACGAACACAATGACGTTTTGGCGCAAATCCCGAGTACGCTCTCAATTCTCGACGGAATCAAGGCCAAAATCCAAACCGAGCGACGCCGTACTGTGTTACCGCATTTTGTAGTACCTCAATTTCAGATGTCCCGCCGCCGCCGCCGCAACCAAAGCCGCAGACGCCACAAGGTAGAGCGAAAGTCAGAATATGGACATACTTTTTAGTGCCTCCCCGCGATTTGAAGCCCGAGTTCCCGCCGCATCCGGTGTTTCCGGAACCCCCGGAACCGCCCACCCAGCAAAACCATCGCATCACCCCGACGATCGACCGCAGCAAGAAGCCACCGCTGGAAAATGTAATTTTCTACATTTTGCTATTTTTGCGATTTATCGTTGGCTATTACGCTGTTAGCAGCGACTAGTTAACTGTTATTTTGCGATGACAGACGAATTTTCACGACGTTTTTAGTATTCTTTTCATTATCAAAACGCCAGAAAACCGTGTTAGCAATTCGAAAAAAAAATTGAAATCTAAGGCTTCGAAAATCTTATCGTCTTCTCTATGCTACCAGGCCTAAAAATCTATATAAATAGTGTATCTTTAAAAGTCTTTTAAGCCAATGCTTTGACCATTTTTTGTATTGATTTTCTTTTTCTAATAAAAACGGCCTCAAGCATCTTGTAAAATAGTTGTCAAGACTACAGACAAGAGTATATCAGAAAAGGTTGGCATAGAAAAAAACCGCCGCTCACTGTCCAGAAGAAAAAAATGTATCCTTTTTATAGGGCTACACAAACGACGCCAAGCAGCTCCACAACGATCCGCCGCGCGAGACAAGATCTAGGTGGGCAAAAATAGCTTGATTTTCTCGATCTTCCTCTTCTCGTAATTTGCATAAAATTCGGCATTTTGTATTGCGCGTAAATTGGGAAAACCCGGCATTCTGATGGATGTTCGGGTTGAGCGATTGGATCACCTTTGCGGCGAACCTTTTGCGCCCCGCGCCCACCCCCAGCGAGCCAACCCCAACCCCCGCCGCCACCGAAGTGGATGAATTTGAGCGGAGGTGCCCGGCTTTTTCTAGCTCTCTCTCTCTCTCTCCCCCCTCTCTCTCTCTCTCTCTCGCTAAAAATAGTGCAACATTGTGTATTTTTTATCTAATTTATGTTTTTTTGTTTTCAGCATTCCCTCGCTGCCACAAGTTGACCGCACGACCAAGCCCATCGACGCCCAGATCACGTAAGTTTCTCGGGTACTGGACTGTTAGCGGGGGCGGGGGTAATGTTGGCGTAACAATTCAAGCCACGCCATTTCCAGAGTTTTTTGAGGCCGTTTTTCACTTTCAAATGTTTTGTGATGTTTTAAAAGTTTTTTGAATTTTGGGTAGAAAGTCTAGTTTTTGGATCAGAATGATCAATAGCTCCGGTTTGCGATCGCTTTTATTAGCTGTTAAATGGACTATTTTTCTAACTTTCTAAATGTTTTGTGTTCATTTTTAGTAATTACATGGGTTAAAACGCCATAAAGTGGCGATAAAGCGCTGAAACACGGCCTAGCGCCGTTTTCCTTATTTATTTTTTTTTCCGTTTTAGACAACAACAACATGCCCGCATCGCTGATAGCTACCACAACATGTACAAAGAGTTTTTGCGGACTGGCCACGGCAGAAATGGGGTAGTCTTCCACATATTTTTTCGTGAAATCACTTTTTTTTCTAGTCTATGGGCATCATTGGCATCTACAACATGGGCAACACCTGCTTCGTCAACGCCACCCTCCAGTGCCTCATCCAAACGACGCTACTGCGCAATTTTTACTCGGGCAAGAAGTTCCTCAACTACGTCATGCCGTATGTCCTGTTGACTAGATTTTGTTGACACAAAAACTTTAGCAAAAACAAGTTCAACTCGGGCGGCGTGATGACGGCCGCCTTTGCCGCCCTGCTCGACGTCGCCTGGAGCGGCCAGCTGCAGGCCATTCGCATTGAATTGTTTATGGTAGGCAATTGTCGATTGTCAATATCTAAAAACTGTTTAATTTGCGATAAAAATGGCTGATATTTTGTTCTGCGACCGTACGGGACTGCAAAAAAATCAGTTTTCCCACCTGATAAAAATTCACCTGCTAACAGTAGCTCCAGTACATCATTTGGATTTTTGGCTTCGTGAAAAGCCCCATTTTAGAGGGCATTCGGCGAATTCAACGAGTACTTCAACGACGGCTGCCAGCACGACGCCCAGGAGTTTGAGATCAGCCTGCTCGACTCGCTGCACGAGGACACCAACCAGGTGCTGGAATTTTTGCTTTTTTTTTAGTTATGGGCTTGTTTAGGTCCAAAAACCGACCCCAATGTCGACCGACTACCGCGGCGGCTCGCACATTGTCGCCGACAGCGAGGACTACCGCAAACGGATGCAAAAGTACTCGCACTCGCCGATATCCGACATTTTTGATGTAAGCTTTCGCCTGGTTTGGCTTGACGTCCTGTTTTCGCTTTTAGACGATCAAAGTCTCCGAGCTGCAGTGCACCCGCTGCCGCGCGACGTCGGCCACATTCGAGAACTGGCGAATGCTGTCGTTGGGGGTGCGTTTTTGCGTAGCACTGTTTTTACTAAATTTTGGGCATTACTGTCAATGACAAAAATTATTTTGTATTGTTTTTTATTTTTGATCCAGCTATGCATTGGGGTTTTCAGCTTGATTTCAAATTTTAGGGTACGTTTGCTTATCAATTTTTTAGGTAGAAGAGACCATCGAGCAGTGCATGGACACCAATTTTCGTGAAGAGGTATGATTGTGGAGATCCGCAAAAAAACTCCTCTTCTTGCAGATACTCGATGGGGACGACCGATGGGAATGCCCGAAATGCAAGGCCAAGCAGCGCTCGACGCGGACCACCAAGATCTGGACCTCGCCCCCGGTCCTCATCATCCACCTGGTACGCTTCTCGCAGAGCGGCGGCTCCTTTGTCAAGGTACGTTCTTTCTTCCCGCTACACTAAAGGCTTGATTGCAGAACTCGGATCCGGTGGTATTCCCCGAACGACTCGACGTGAGCCCCTGGATGCACGCGCAAAGCCGCGGGGGCCAGCGCCGATACTCGCTCTACGCTGTGACGGTGCGCATTTTTTAGCATGGCCTTTTTTATTAGTGTTTTTGTTCAGAACCATCGTGGCAGCCTAAACAGTGGCCACTACACGGCGGTGACCAAACATCCCAGAGAAAAGTGGGTTTTCTTGCGCTTCCGGTAAATGAGGGGCGGCAGCCAAATTTTTTTACGTAGAGAACAATTGATTTAATTAACGTTATTTTGGTTACTGCAATCTATTTTTTTCAATAATATGCTCGGATTAAATAACAGAAAAAAACATCGAAAGAACATTTTTAAAATGTAGTTCTGGATAATTTTTTAGGTGTTTTTCAATTTTTTAACTAATCAAAGGATTTTGAACGATTTTGTGGGGTTTTTTTATACATATAAAAGCAGCGTCCAATTCTGTAAAGCCAGTATAGTCTAGTCTCTATTTTTGATTATTGGATCGACCGTAGGAAAACGTTTATTTTTACCCATAACGTGCTTATAGAAACCACATAAACCGGGTTGCCTATTGGCTGCTGCTGTAATCCTTGATTTTTAGTTGGATTAAATTTGACGACGAGGGCTGCTCGAAGGTGGATGGCGTCTCGGATATTGATGTAAGTTTATGTGAAAGAATTTTTTGAAATAAGCCTGTTTTTTTTTTAGAAATCGGCCGCCTTCGTCCTCTACTACAAGCAAGACCCCACGCCAACGCTACATTAAATTCGTCCACACTGCCGCCGCCTTGTCGAATTATTAGAAAGCACATAAAAGCACATTTTTGCACGGTGTCATTTCAGTTTTTGCTCAGATTTCAGCGCCTCTAAACCCTCCACCTTCACCCTAACATGAGCATAATTTTTTTTATATGCCTCCCCGCCCCCCCCAATGTTTGTGCTGTATTTATTATGTAAAAAGTCGTTTTCTCTGTGATAGCCATTTCCGCAACAGGTGCCCCTCTCATACTACTAGTACTGCTACGCCCATTCGATGCTGACCCGATGTATACGATTTTTTTTTCTTTGTGCCCTGCAAAAGGAATAAAAAATATATTTATTGCTTTTTTGAGCTCACCTTGCTGAGAATGGTTGTTAAACGAACCATCGTGCTTTCTGAGCTTCATGCCTTAGAACTATTCAAGCTTTTTAAATTGCTAGGTAATACATTTCGCGGTAAACGGGTACCGGCGCCGTGATGAAGGACGACGATGATAAGGGGTACACCTGGGAGGCCGCGTATGCTGAAGGTTTGTGTTTTGTAGGGGTACACGCTAGATTTCGACTTCCTGGATGGGTTCTTTCGCATTATCCGGGAGGGGGCTTTTTGTATAAGTAGAAATGTCTAGTAACATACTAGGATGTGTCCAATAGTGGTTTTAGTAGTATATAACTATATGCAACTAGAAAAATTGTCTAAAAATTTAAAAGATGTTTAAAAAATTCGGAATTTTGGTGAAAATCGGCCATTTTTGGTCGACAAAACAAATCGATATTTTTGTCCTTTTTTTGAATACAAATGCGTAAAGTTTTCACGTTCAGGGGTTGTAGAACCGTTAAGCAACTATTTATGTTTGAAAAATCCTTAGACAGAAAAAAAAACACATTGACATCGTCGGAATTAGCGAAAAATGCTGCATAGGGTGGACTCTAGGAGATCACCTGGTTAGACTGATTGAAAAGTCGAGGTCACCCGAGTCCTGACCTCACCTCTTTCCTTTCAGGCTTGAACATCCGCGGCGTGCTCGAAGAGGACGAGCGCGGCTCTATCGAAAAGAGTATACAACGCGTCATCGAGGAGGCCAAGCGGAAAGCCCGTGACGTCGACCGGCCGTCAAAATGTCGACTGGGAATTGTGAGTTTTTAAAGTAAGAAGTGTAGGAACACTTTCAGATGCGCTACCTCTTCATCGTCATCGACAGCTCGCGCTTTATGCAGGACAAATCGATGGTGCCCAGCCGGCTGAACGTGACGATACGGGTAAGGGGAAACGCTAAATATAACTTTTTATGTAGACAATCACCCGCTTCCTCAACAAATTCTTCGAGCAAAACCCGATGGCCCAGGTCGGCATCATAATGTGCAAAGACCGAAAAGCCGAACGGCTGGTGCCGTTGACAGGTTGGGAAGGCGGTTCCGCTAAACACCAATATTCAGGAAACATTCGCCAAATATGCGACACTCTCGGCACCATCAACGAGCTGCAGTGCGTCGGGGATTTCTCCCTTCAGAACGCCCTGCGATTGGCCTATTCGAATCTGAAGTGAGCGCAGCGCGAATTGATTGATTTTCGTTTTTTTTAGGGATCTTCCGGCTCATTTTTCTCGTGAGGTGCTCGTGGTGATGTCGGCGCTCACCTCAGTCGATCCGGGAAATATTTTTGCGACTGTTGAGGTGTAGACTCGGAATTGGGCCGAGATGTTGTTTTCCAGAACCTGAAAACGGCCTCGATTCGGTGCTCGGTGATCGGGCTTTCGGCTGAGATATTCGTCTGCGCCCAGGTGGCAAAGTTGACAAAAGGTACGTATGAGTTGCTGACAAGCATCGTTGATGCACCGGAACCATCTAAATATCACTTTTACGGTGGTGCAGTTTAACCGATTTTGGTACTCAGGTCCTCTTTTCGATACATGGCTGTAAAATATACCAAAAATACTGGCAAAAACAAGACGAACCTTTTCGTGTAGTTTACAACCATTCGGACGTAAAGGGAGCCAGGATTCAGAAGTTTGTGTTCCTTCAACAGTCTACTTTTCAGGCCGATACGCCGTCGTCCTCGATGCCAGCCATTTGGAGCTGGAAATGGGGGCTCACGCTACTCCTCCACCCACCGGAAAGTCAGTTTTCTCATCAAAAACCCTAGACTATACTAATCTAGACAACAAGAGTCGAATGCCGTGGCCGTCGGCTTTCCGTCGCACGAGACCATCAAGAAAACATCATTTTGTTTGTGGTGAGTTCCGATTGCTTTACCTTGATTATAGGCAGAAAAATTAACTATCGGTGTCTCGGTGATGGCTAGAAAATGGGTTCTTTCGCATTATCAGGGGGGAGGGAAACACAAAAACTTTAAAATTTTCATGAAAACGTACAAAAATGCAGATTTTTTTTGTCCAAAAATGTCCTTTCTAGTAAAATTTTGACCTTTTGAACATTTTTAAAAATTTTGTTGAGTTTTATAGTTTAAATTCGTTTTTATTATCCTAAAAAATTTATTAAAATACTTCCTATTAGGTTACTAAGCATTCCCAGACTTACAGAAAAAAATTGGGTCTCCCCTCCCCCGATAATGCGAAAGAACCACGTTTTGATCGCCGCCATGATCCGGAGCCTTATTCCTTTTTTTAGTCACCCCGGTGCGGCGCCGCTGTCCGCCCGCGGCTACCTGTGCCCAAGATGCGGTGGACGGTACTGCTCGCTGCCCGTCGAGTGTCGCGTGTGCCGTCTGACTCTCGTGGCGGCACCGCAACTTGCTCGCGCCTTCCGCCACCTCCTCCCGCTGCCCGCCTTCAAGCGGATAGATGCCCCTCAAGAGTGGGTGAAAGTTACCTGAAAAGTAACTGAATAGCTGGGAAAGTTTGCTAAAAATAAAAAAGAACATGTAGCACAAAAATTTCAAAGTTTTTAACATTTTCACTAATCTTTCCAAACGTTTGCAGAAAAATAAAAAAAATTCGCCCCCGTGGTGATATTGCCAAGTACACTCTTTTTTCTCCTTTTAACTTCTTTTTAACCAAACCATTTCCAGCGGCTCCTGTTTCGCCTGCCAACACAGCTTCCGAAAATCGCCGTCGGCCTACGAGTGCAAGCAGTGCGCGCAGACGTTCTGCTTCGAGTGCGACACGATGCTGCACGAGTCGCTGTACGCGTGCCCCGGCTGCGATTCCGTCACTTCTTGATTTCGGCCATATATCGCTTTCTTCCTACGATCGATTTCGATATACGGTTCTTTAGTATTTCCAGGGGGGCTACTTTTGCCCTTGCATAGAAGATTTTCAAATTTAGAAGTAAAGAAAGCGTTTCTACACTGGTTTTTATTAGCCAATAACAAACAAACTTTACAAGGGTTATTTATGACACGAAAATAATTCCTTTCGACCCGAAATGACACTTGCTATCAAGATTTGAAATTTCAACCTCTGTCTAACTGTTCGAAATTTTGGTACTATTGAAGTTGGGGGGGGCAAAATTTTTTTGGGGTCATTTTTGGGCTAATTGGTCAGTTTTTCGTGGCTAATCCAGCGCAATACTCAACTCCTAAGCTAAGCTAAGCCGAAGCACAGTTAAATTGAGCTTGAACAAAGCTAAGTCAAAGCCAAAAGCAATGATGCTGTGGCGAAGCCAAGCCAAGGACCTGGTACTAAGGCTTAGGCTAAGCATAGGCCTAAGCCTAGGTTAAACTAGTTCTAAGCCTAGCCTAAGTCAAGCTTAAGCCTAAGCCAAGCCAATACTAAGCTAAGCTAAGCCTAAGCCAGAGAAAAACTGACCAATTAGCCCAAAAATGACCCAAAAAAAATTTTGCCCCCCCCCCAACTTCAATAGTACCGAAATTTTTCCACTTGAATTATCGCGAAATTTACTAGAAAACTGCTAGCTAGGATAAAAATAATACAAAAATATCAACGCGCCTTCCCGTGGAACTACTAAAGAACCGATTAAGTACCCAAAAGTCTTTCTTTTTGTTGTTCTCATTTTACCTTGCCTTTCGATCAACCTATCCGACTAGACCCCGGTGCCCACGTTTTTCATAGAATACCATAGCTACCTTTTTTTTGTTGCCCAGATTTTTTTGCCGAGTTTCTAGTACCGTTTTGTCGTTTTCCTCAGTGTGATCGCTCCCCTCTACCTGCGACGGGTAAACGCATCGACTCTACTGTTGTTATGGTCTCGTTTTTCTTGGTGTAATAAATTATACGGTTCAAGCGCACCGAACACAGAAAATGAACGCGTCGCCTGGATCGCGGTACACGTTCTATGATAGCTAGCTAGATTACGAGGATCGAAACTGAGTAAAGTTTTAGCTTTGCGGTTCTGCTACTTGCGCGGATTTCCTGTATTTCCAAAGTTGCCCGGGTTTTACTTCGCATTTTTATCTACACGAATTTCATCAAAATCATAAAAAATCAAAATCAAAAAATGGTCGGTGATCTCCCTCTTCTCTCCCTTGCTTCTTCTCGGGGCTCGCTTTTGTAGTCGTGGCGGGGCGAAGGGTGATGTTCTGGAAAGTCGGCGTTAAGTGGTGGAAACAAAGCAAATTCCCGACCTTCCGGTCTCTCTAATGGTTTTCCGGTGAAATATCTCTGGGTTACTGTAAGATCGGCTAGCCTATCTGACTCATCTTTTTAGTAAAGCTAACCTAACTAGTTTTCTTTTCGTAACTTACTAGTCGATACTTTACACCTCCCACCTTACATTGGATCCGTCCTCGGATCCTAATGATCTGGTGGGTCTGTGCTTCTTATCTAGAGAAGAAAAGACATCGAAAAAAAAAGGTTTTACGGTACGGAACTTAGACCAAGAATTGGTCAGTAATTTTTGATCAAGGCAGATTTTAAGGTAATACGGTTTTGGAAAAAGATTTAACCAACCTTATAGGTGTTGTGGGTGGGCCAGAAGGGCATCGATGGATGTGACCATGCCTTCTCCTTCAGCTGACTGGAAAGCTTGGGTCCACCAATCTGACGCGAACGCCTCTTTAGTGCCCAAAATGATGACAGCGTCCCTGGCTCGGGTCAGTGCCACGCAGGCTCGCAGTCTGTCGGTGAACCAGTCACCTTCTTGAGCGCGTTCGGATCGGGTCGTGAGGACCAAAGCGATCCCGGTCTCAGCACCCTGCGATCTTTCGACGCTGGTGCGTCGCGTATCGGCCCAGGCGAGGTCTTTGAGCATTTGGTCGACCTCCTCACCTTGGGCGTTGTAGAATGTGATAACCATCGTCTTTCGGAGGGGGTAGCTCTGTCGGATCCGGTCGAGGATCTGGCGTGTGTATTCGCACTCAGCCGTGTTCGACAAACTGCCACCCGGAGAACGCGCCGCGGTTCCCTCGTAGGTGACAAAAACGAGAGGCCCCGCTTTAGGGAGATTGAGATGTAGCCTCTTAAAAGCGGGTCTCTGCATATCCGTAACTTCGGTCGTCAAACGACCTTCATAGAAAAAGTGGGAAGCGAACTCCGCCACTAAAGGGTGGGCCCGCCACGTTTTCTCGAAGAATACCGTGGGGACCTGGGTTGAATTCATCGCCACGGCTAGAGCTTGCCTGAGGGCGTAATCGATCGGCTGCGCCTGTGGCATCAGGGCGGAGTAGGGCCGGCTTTGCTTGGTATCGCCGACCAGATAAATGGACGCGTCGGGGAAACGGCAGGCCATGGCAACGAGGGCGGCTTCCGGCATCACGCTGCTCTCGTCGATGATAATCGTCCGGACCGTTTGGAGGGTTTGCTCGAAGAGTCCAGTTTGGAGCCTTGGCAACGAGTTGATTGTTGCTGCCAGGACGTGGGGCCTCCTCCACCGGGCGATGATGTCGTACACGGCCCTAGCGTTGTCTCCTGGGATCTCGTCGTGCATCAGATTTCTTTCGGCTTCAAGGATGTCGCTGACGAGCGTCAGGGTGTTAGCGAAGTAGCCCTGGATCAATCGGCGGCTTCGAACGAATTCGATGACTTTTTGGCGATCGGTCGTTGTCAGTGGTGCTCCGGCCGGGTCTTCGAGGATCGATTGGGCCAGGGTAGGGAGATCGCCATCAGTACTGATCGTCTCCGCGATGCCCTCGGCTTTGAAGCGGTGGACGATTCGCTCCCGGTTCTCGTTGTTCGTGGCGAGAATGGCGTTTACGAGCTGGCCGACCGCGTTGTTTGTGTTGCTGCATACGATCACGCGGTTTCGACTTTGCTCGGCGATGTGGGCCACGGCTTCGGCGATTGTGGTCGTCTTACCAGTGCCGAAAGCTGCCAGGATTGCTCCGATAGGTGTGCCGCTAGCGATAAGCGCGATTGCCTGTCGCTGCTCGTTCGTCAGCTGTCGGGGTGTGTTGTCGACCGTGGTGGAAGTCGGGATGCGCTTATCCAATGTCGGGACTCTCCGGGTAGTCGGGATTTCTTCCAAGTGACGGCGTCCACGTTGGCTGTTGTACAGTGTGTCGATCATCTGGTAGGCTGGCTGATGGGGCTTCAGATGGCCGAATCCTTTCTTCAAGGTTTCCTGGATCCACGATGGGCGGTGTTCGCTGAGCCTGTAGACGGTGGCGTCGTATTCCATGTCTGGCACGGCTATGGGGTCGAGTCGGCTGTAGTCGATGATATTGGGGATCGTATCACAGATGGTTCGTTCGATAGGGTTGCCCTCGAAGGAGATTTTCATCAGTCGCGCGATGACAGCTAGTTGGGCTTCTCCGGTAAAACTGATGATTACTTCGTCGCGATTCGTCCATGCTCCTGCCGTCGTCTTGCCGTCGATAACGACTCGGGCCTTGATGATGCCGGACTGGTTGAGCACGGTCTTTGTGAGGGTCACCTTTGCTGGCCATTGCTTGTAATCGATTTCCATACTTTCTTTGACTTCTTGGGCCGACAAACCGATGCGGAGGTTCTCGAGGAGGATTCTGCATCCGAATTCACTGTTTTCCTTGTACTTGCTGAATCGATCGATTCTGTCCTGGTAGTCGGATGTCCTGCTGTGTGGGAACGTGGTGACGTACCGTGGCATTGGCGCTTCGGCAAAAACCGTTGGTTCGATTTGTTTTGCGTATTCCAGGATGGCGTTTTCATCGTCCTGTGAATGAGGTATGATAGCAAGGTAGTTCGCCGATGAAATCGGCTTCCGTGTATGGCACATATACAATTGATCTGAGGCGAATCTCTTGTATCTTCCGTGGAGCAGGTCTCCTGGAACGTGTACCACTCGGGACTGCCCCATCACCGCGAGCTGCGTCGTTTTTTTGTATGGCGCGGCGCTAGGGGGGGTATATAAAGTGTATCCTGGGCAGACTTCACCTTCGGTGCGTTGGATCGCTTCGAAAATGCTTGCCCTAAAGACGGTCTTACGGTCCTTGAGCGGGATCCCCCGGATCCGGGATTCGGCTCGCGTCTTCTCGACCATATTTTCCCGAATGAAAACGTTTGGGATTGACAGTTCGACTACCCAAATCAAATCACCAATTGCACCTTGGAGTGTGTGTAGACCCGCCGTATCGTTTGCTCGGTCGAGGGATTTGCTATCTAGCGAAATAAATCTCAATTCCTCAAATTTCGCGAACACCTCAATATTAACGGCCTCGAGGAGGAAACCGCGTGCTGTTCTGTATGCTATTATGCGGTACAGAATCGGCATGCGAGGCTGATCCGTTGTTGGCCAAGTTCCTGCTTTCTGCGGTCTTTTGGGTGCTTTGCTGCTCGGTTCCTCGTGTGCGACCAGTCCTGGGTTGTTGGTGTATCGGATCAGGACTTCCTTCGCATGTTTGCGGAAGGCCCGGACGTCGTCCAGGTGGGTCAATCCGTGTATTGGGTAGATCGGTTCATCGTCCTTGGTGTACCTGATCGGGGCGTGGAGCTGCCTGTAGTTGTTGAGTTTGCGTTGCCTCCTGATGGATCTGGAAGGGAAGGTGTCGCTGAAATCGACGTTCAGTTGACGCAGCTCCTCGAGAGTGCATCTCGGCTGTTCCAAGGCTCGGTAGGACCAGGGATGGTTCAGCTCCTGTTCCGCTTCTTCTTCGCTGGGCTTGTCGGGGTAGGAGTTGCGCGATGGGCGATGCGAAAGATCGATTAGCAACCTTGGGGCTGGCCTTTCTTCGGGAAGCGCTTCGATTTCGAATTCCAGTTGCTCATCTGGATCGGCTTCCGAGTCGGAGTCTTTTTCTGACTCCTCTCGGAGTTGGAAAGCTTGGAGACCCGCTAGTTGTTCTTGGTCTTTTTTTGGAATATTTGGATCTTTGAAGTTCAAAACTTCTTCGGGGAGTGGGATCTCACTGAGGTCCGACTCGAACTGGGTCCAACTCACGGTGACTTGCGACTCCTCGGGGTCCGTCCTTTGGATCTTCACCGGGGGCCCATCGTGCTCCATCACGGAGTCGTCCGTCAATTCGACTGCTTGAGTTGGGTCGACGCCGGGATCGACGTCCGGGGCTGGGGTTGGCTCGTTGATCATTACCTGAAATTTGATGGGTTTGCTGGTCTATCTGATTTTTACACAGAAGCTGATGGAAAACAACGGAACTGTTATGGGTGAACGCGGAGGGAGAAGGATGAGTATAAAATGGAGAGTTTTAAAGGGTTTCAGAGTCATTTCCTGGGTCGTAAAAAATATTTGTGACCGGCCACCTCTTGGGACTGAGATCCTTGAGGAGTTTCTTTGTGTCCGTCATTATTACCGTAACCTGGGATCTGTACTGGTTCTGCTTCTGCATGTTGTAGGATTTCGGCGTCTTCCGCCGTCAGTTCCTCTGTAGTAGTGGTCGGACCGGAGATCTCAAGGAATTTCTTGATTTGGTTGAAATGTACCTTTCTTGGCTGGGCGTGAGGAGTCGATTTCGGCACGATGAAGGCGTGTGGGTGGTCGATCGCGACTACGCGGAAAATTCCTGTCCACGGCATCGACAGTTTTCTGCTAAAACCGGGTTTGAAATGAGATGTTTTTTCGGTGACACAGTCACCAATTTGGATTTCTAGAGCTTTCAAATGTGAAAATTTGTTCTGATCGGAAATCCCGTATCTTTTGCGAGCGAGCTCGGAGTTATCCGCTGCTAATTTCCAGGCTTCGCTCAGATTTTTGATTAGTAAGTCTTTATACTCTCCCATTTCGGAATCTTTAGGGTACCTAATTTGGGCAGATTCCTCGATCACAAGGCTAATGTTGTAGTTGGGATCTCTGCCGTGCATTAGGAAAAAAGGCGATTCCTTGGTAGTCTCGTGCGTCGAGGTATTATAGCAGAAAGTGCACGCTGCGACTAGAAGATCCCAATTATGCTGGTTCTTATCTACGTAAGCCCTCAAATAGTACTGGAATGTCCTAAAAACTCTTTCTACGGTCCCGTTTCCTTCGTGGTGATAGGGGGTGACGAAATAGTGGTTTATTTTTAGTAGGCGGCCGATTTCTTCAAAAAGTTCGCATCGGAAATAAGCTGCATTGTCGCTAACAATGCATCTTGGGGTACCGTATCTCAAGAATACCTCATTCGTTAATGCGCTGGCGACCGTGACCGCTTTGCAGTTTTGAATGGGGGCGCTAACGGCAAATTTCGAAAAATGATCTATCGCGGTGAGGATGTACTTGTTTCCGCGTGGAGTTTCGGTAAAAGGGCCGCACAAATCTATATAAACAGTCTCGAAAATAAAGGTTGAAATTCGGGAGGAAAGGGCTTCATGGTTGCGGCTACTAGTGGTTTTTTGTTGGCAAATGGCACACGTGGCGCACCATGCCTTTATGTCTTGGAAAATTTCAAACCAAAAATAATGCCTGAGGATCTTGGAGAGCGTTTTGCTTGGACCAAAATGGCCTCCTGCCGACGGGCTTTCGTGGAATGCTGTGAAAACTAATTTTTGTAATTTAGAGGGGATTAAGAGTTGGGGGCGTTGACGGGAAGTACTACTGGTTGGTGGCCTACGGTAGATGCACCCGTTTTTATTGACAAAAAGTTGATCCATTTTTTTGATAAATGCGGCCTGGTCTGGATCCGGGGATTGGGGGAGCTGCTCAGCTGGCTTGTTTAAGAATTCGAAAGATTTGGAGCAGAATTGGTCCTCCAGCTGCGCTTTAAGAGCGTCGACTGGTCGTACCCGATGAGATTCTAGGGAAATTGGGATAACTTCCGGCGAGATTGCTAGACAGACTGGGAACTGGATAATGTCCTCCATTTCTGGTCGCCCTTCTTTAAAACAGTTTCGTGGATCGGAAAGTCGGGAAAGGCAATCAGCTACTAAGTTAGTGCTACCTTTGACATAGGTTATGGAAATATCGTATTGCTGAAGCTCGATTATCCAACGGGCCAAGTGGCCATTCATCTCAGTTGTGCTATTAAGGACTGAAACTAGCGGGCGGTGGTCGCTGCGTATCTCGGTATGATTCCCATAAATTATGTGTTTGAAATGTCTAAGCGCTGCGATTATTGCGAAAAGCTCGATGTGGGTGGGTGCCCACTTACGCTGGGATTCTGCTAAGCATTTACTAAAATAACCTACGGCCTTCAATTGCTTCTGGTCTCCGGCTTCCGCCTGCAGCAGGGCGGCTCCCACCGCTGTCGTTGATCCATCCGTGTACAGAATGAATGGTGCGTCTTTCGGGTAGCTGAGGCATGGCTTCGATACTAGAATGTCTTTTATTTTTGAGAAAGCTACTGTTTCCTCGGGACCCCATTTGAAAGGACACTTTTCTTTGGTCAGCGAGTAAAGTGGGTCAGCTATTTTTGCGAATCCCGGCACGAATTTCCTGAAAAAGTTGGCCATGCCAATAAACTGCTTTACTTGTTTAGCGTTCATTGGTGCGGGCATTTCTTTAATTGCATTTAGGTTCCGGTCTGCGGGATAGTATCCGTTTCCCGACACTTCATGTCCTAGAAAAACTACACGGTCCCTTGCTATGTCTGTCAATTTTCGGCCGTTCGCTTTAATTTTGTAGGTTCGGAATCGATCGAAAACGGCTCGCAGGTGTTTAATATGTTCCTGGAAGGTTTTGCTATGGATACAGAGATCGTCTAAGTACCAGATGCAATTATTCGAGATGCTGCCGGACAAAATTTTGGCCATTGCTCTTGAAAAGGCTGCCCCTGCGTTTTTTAGACCAAAAGGAAGATATTCGAATTGATATACCCCTTTATGCGTGAGCCATCCGCATTTGTAGGCTGCCTCGGGGGTGAGCTTCAGTTGCAGGTAGCCGCTTGCACAGTCGATGCAGGTGAAGTATTTGCTATCCTGGAATTTGGCTACAATGTCTTGGATTAAAGGAAGCGGAAAAGGGTCCTGAATGCAACAGAGGTTTGTTGAGCGCAAGTCCAGGCAAATTCTTAGTGATCCATTCTTTTTGGGAACTACAACTGAAGGGTGGATCCAAGGTGTGTCGCTTTCGCGGATCCGGCCACATTCTAACAGTCGCTTAATGTGTTCGTCTACTTCCTTTTGGAATTTTAGCGGTATGCGAGCGTGTCGGAATTTAGTGGGGGGAATTTCTGTTGTTGTTTTGATATCGACTAGCGTGCTATCGTAGCTGCCCAAATCGTAGTCAGAAAAAGAAATGCAATCAGAATATTCTTCTAAAAGAGAGTAAAGCTCTTCTTTTTCTTGAGCTGATAAAATCGAATTATCGAGATTAATTTGTTGGCGAATAAATGTATCTTGACGGATAAAATCCGGTTGGCTTACACTACAAATATTTAGTCTAGGTGCTTCCTCTGGTATTTCCCCTAGTGCTACGGTAGTATTTTTATGGATAATTACGGGGCGGCTAGTTGGGTTAGTGACTAAGATTAATGGGGATGTAGCCTTAACGACTGCTGGGGCAGCGAAAATATTTGCTTGGGCGAGTTTGGTTACAAAAGGCTCGACTATTAGGTCAGTGGCTGGGGGCTCAGGGTCGGACCTACATTTTACGAAGACTTCTGAGTTGGCCGGGACCACTGTGGTCTGCTCGCATCGCATCTTGTATATAGGGTTAGGTGTCTCCGAAATCGTCAAAGAGGCCACCGAAGCCTTTGAATCCATCGGGATTATGTCGGCATCGCACCTGAATAGCTTATTGTTGTAATCGATTGACCATTGAGGCAAAATAGACAAAAAATCATTTCCTAAAATAACATTATAAGATTCGACGGCCGCTTTTGGCGCCGAGGGGCCGCTGGTGAACATGATCGGATGGTCAAAAAATGATCGGCCTATGTCGATCCGGACTTGGGCGGAGCCTTGGATGGTGATTGGTTGGCCCGCGATGCCAAAAGCCTCCTTGATCGGGGCGGAGTCTAGCTTAAATGCACCGATCAAGGTGCGGGTACTGTCAGATGCGATAGAGATACTAGCGCCTGTGTCAATTAAGGCTAACATGCGGATTCCGTTTACGCGCACCGGAATCTGGGCTATGAAAAGGTTTACATTAGTGTTTTGAAATGCCAGGACGCATACGGAATTCGCTTTTTGGGGTCGATAGTGCCATGTGTTTTGACTTTCGGCTAGAGAGATTGTTTCTGGTTCCTTTTCGGGTTCTTCCTCGATAGAGTGCCTAATTCGGGTTTCTTTTCGTTTATGTTTTTCAGTTCCGGTGCTACAAACCCTTCTGAATACTGTAAAAACCGGTGAAATGAGGTACAAAAATGGGAGTATTTTGAAAATGACCCAAATGGTTACGATCGATGAGGTTATAGATGTCCAAATCGTGAATGGTGAAGGAATAAACGATTTTAGGAATGAAAAGAAATTGTAACTTTCGGAGTGAAACTCCAGGATCTCCATTTGCGCCACCGGGCTCAGCAAATGGTTCTCGACTTCCTTTAGTGCCCATGCATGTTTTTCAAAAATTGGGGATTCCACCTCGTTCCAATCAGTGAGCTGCAAGTCGTGAAAAATGGTATTCGGAATATCTAGATTGATAGTTGTTGGCGACTCGATTTCCCGCTGAATACTCGATGACACTGTTTTTTCAGAGATTTGTCCGAGGATCGGGTCGAATTTCCAAACTTTGCTAGTCTCATGATCAAAAATGAGAAAATCTTTTACCTGCTGACAGGGGATATTTTCTGCGAATTTTGCAAGCTCTCCCGTGTCGAGATCGATAAAAGCTGTCCAGTTTTGATTGTTTTGGCTAGAAATCTGGACCATGGGCTTTTTGAAACACTGATCTTTTTTAAATGGGGTCAAATGGGCCTTGCCCCGCGGCAATTCAATGCAGGTCCCCAAAAGTATAGTGCGTGGACCCAAATATGTAGCTACGATATCGGTACGGTTCAAAAGGTGGCGTGTAACTTTAGTTGGGTCTTCCTTGAGCGCAACATCCATGAAATTCGCAAGGTGATTCATGCGCGCACACATTGACTGGGCCAAATGAAATACTAACGTTTTTGTTGATTCCGACATCGTTAGTTGGACGGCCTGGAGTTCGGCGGCTAATTGTGCGGGTTCTATATAAGCAATTTTTGGATTTTTGCCCTCCTGGTCTCTCTTTGTTCGGGGGTGAGCGGGCTCGACTAGTTCAAAAGCGTAGCCTTGATCGGTTAAAATTAGGGATGACTGGCAGTTTCTAATTCTTTGGACGGGGATACTAGAAGTTAAGGCTAATTCCTTACTGCTACTAAGCCACAAATTTCCCATCATTGTCCCGTAAAATTTGCCCACCTCAATCCAATCGCATTTTTGCTGCTCGCTCGGCTTCCACCGGATAAATGTGCCATCTTTCGTAGCGCATTTTCCATCTGCGTATCGGCAGTCGCTCATATCCGCAAATGCCGATTCCGGGGCGGCGACGCCATGTCTGCCGGCTACGTTAATCTGTAACATGTGGCAATTGGTCGCTTGCACTGAGTGCTCCTGACAGCATCCGAAGGGTGCAGCTGGCCAGTTGACCTCCAGCTTATTTTGCGTGCTAGCAGACTTTCCTTTCCTAATTAGTTTCCCATGTTGACACATTTTGTGTTTTTCCATTACTTCGCACTCGGTTGCGGATACTGGAATTGTTGTCCGGCTGGTTTTCAAATTTTGCCCGCCAAAAAGTCCTACCGAAAATGTCGCGGTGTCGACCGTAATCCTGCAGGCCGTCCCCTCGTTTACGTAGATTTTCGTATTCGTTCGAAACAGTTTGATGGTAGCTGGCGTTGCGTGAGTCAGCCGTCCCTGTGTAATGGCCGCGCAATCTAATGGATCATAGCCTTTAGGGCCGGGCTCGGAGTGCCCGCTGCACACGTAAACATGGCCGCGCAAACCATCGCGATCAAAACGGGGGTTGAGATGCCAGAGGTTGATGGGCTAGGGGTCGCTTTAGGGCTAGCTTGGCTAAGCTGATCGTTGCGACTAATAAGGGCTTCAATTCGCGCATTTGAATTTTTTAGATTTGTCTGGCATTCCAAAAGTTGCTTGGACAGAGCTTCTACGCTGGGTTGCGAAGGGATTTCATTGGGAGTGGAAAATGCATTTACTTGAGCGTTTGAGAAATTAGACTGACCTCTCGGCGTGTAATTCTGCTGCTGTTGCGGCTGGTTGTAGTTCGACTGATACTGGGGTCGGAAACTGGAATTGTTGTTATAATTTCCCCTGCTCTGGTTTACATATGTCTGGCCTCTGTCGCTACCATTACCGTATCTCCTGTCCCTCATTTGGCTCCGGCATTCCCTTGCAAAATGGCCTATTTTGTTGCAATAATAGCATGTAACCTGGTTGTATTGATTCAAAGGTCGGCCGCCTCTAAAAGCTCCCCTTTGTCCCATCGTCCCTCTCCGATTGTTTCCGAATTGCCCTCGTTGGTTTTGGGAATTTCTGTTAGAATGTTGGTTAAGCGAAAGATTCGCCATGGCTTGGATCGTAGGCGTTAGAGAATTATCGATCGATAGCAGATTAGCTGCTGAAACGTCGGATAGCAAAATCTCTACCTGCTTAGCCCTATTCACCGCCTCTTCGAAAGTGTTCGGGTTGCTTTGCAGAGTCCAAAATCGAGTTGCTGTCCTTAATTTAGATACGAATGCATCCAACAAAGTAGCTTTATAAATTTCCTCATTCTGGTTGGCAGTTGCTGTCCTTACTAGTTTCATCAGGCGGTTAGCAAATGCCTCTGCTGACTCACCGGGTTCCTGTTGCGTCGAAGCAACCTTTTGACGGGCTAGAAAACGCTGCTGCGGGGATTCAAATTGATCCTTCAAATACTGCGTTAGTCGATTGTATGACGCCCTGACTTCATCTGTAGTTTCTTCAATCTTTTCTCGAGCAAATCCGTCAAGATGAACGATCAAAAATTTCACCTTTTGCGCATCCGTTGTCTCATCGTCCGTTCTTGTTGCCAGAATATCTTCGAAACGACGTAGCCACTGTGAAAAAGTCGTATTGCTATCCGAGCCTGAAAAAGAAACTATGTTATTTTTCCCTGCTTCTAGAGCCATTACTGCTGGGAATACCCGATTTTCATCTTCTGCTTCTTCTTCCGAATTTTCTTCTAGCTGAATAGGTTGATTTATATTATCTTCGACCGCAAACCGGTCAGCAGGTCCCAAAACGTTAATCTGGGGCTGGCCTGCGTGTTGTTGGCTTGCCCGCCTGATTTCTTCCAAGGCTTCGTTTTTTGCCGAATTGATATCTTCCAAAGCCTCGTTCCTGAATTGAATAAAATTTTCCAATTCTGTTTTGGACTGTTTTCGGAGCGCTTTTTGGGCTTCTTCTTGAGCTACCTTTGGTAATCTAGTGCTCAAATTTACGAATTTGGTGTCTAGTGCTTGACATGCTTCCACTGCATGTTCATGTACTTTGCAAAGCCATTCGGTTTGCACAGGTGAGTTTGAATGGATCTTGCGCAGTAAAACTGCAAGGGGTTCGGCTCCGTCGCCGTGCCGCGACTTCGCTCGCGTTATCATCCGGGGCTTATTTCTCGTCCCTAAATTGGACTCATCTGGTCGCGAACCAGGTTTTCTCGGCAAAAGAAATGAAAATGGAGGAGGATAACTGCTTGATTGTTATAGGCGCGGGACTCTTCGCGGGTATGTCTGCCATAGAGGGGGGGTGAAAGAAAACTTGGTACCAAGAGAATTCCCTATTTTACCGCCGTTAGGGTTCAGCTGGCCGGGCCGACCCCTTTAGGCAAAAATGGAGATATAACGGAGCGATAAGAACAAGGAATTCTGGATGCTGCTGTAGGAAGCGCATCCGTAAAAATAAAAGGAACTTAGAGTTGATGAGAAAGAGGACGAAAAGCTTAGGGAGGGGTGCCTTCGCTGCTACCAGTAAAGTTTTAGCTTTGCGGTTCTGCTACTTGCGCGGATTTCCTGTATTTCCAAAGTTGCCCGGGTTTTACTTCACATTTTTATCTACACGAATTTCATCAAAATCATAAAAAATCAAAATCAAAAAATGGTCGGTGATCTCCCTCTTCTCTCCCTTGCTTCTTCTCGGGGCTCGCTTTTGTAGTCGTGGCGGGGCGAAGGGTGATGTTCTGGAAAGTCGGCGTTAAGTGGTGGAAACAAAGCAAATTCCCGACCTTCCGGTCTCTCTAATGGTTTTCCGGTGAAATATCTCTGGGTTACTGTAAGATCGGCTAGCCTATCTGACTCATCTTTTTAGTAAAGCTAACCTAACTAGTTTTCTTTTCGTAACTTACTAGTCGATACTTTACAACTGCTGGAAATCCGTTTGAACAGATCAGTTTTTTTTTTGTAATTTTTGGACCGCGTTTTTGCTAAATGATAAAACCCTCCAAGCTTGAAATTTACACGTTTCCCTGACAGTGCGGCATTTTCATTCCACCCTTTGAAATTCGTTGAACGTACGTTTGAACGGAATGGCCCCGGTGCACCGCGGGGCGTTCAATCAAAAAAAATCATTTTGCCGTTTTCGGGGTTGCCTACGTGCAATCTGCTTCAAGTTTGATAAGCAAAGTTTCGAGAGGGTGGATTCGGGATCGATGCCAATTTACACGCGTCAAAAGCGGCACGATCACACATCTTGAGGCGACTTCAGTTGCTTTGGTTGGGCTTCTTTTCTCGCTTATCGCTTAGAAATTCTACATTGCGCCCTTCCGTATTCGTAAAGCATGGCGTACTCGATCTTTGATTTTCCCCTTTTCCCTTTTCTTGTTTTTCATTCGTTGTGCTGCAAGCCGCGACGGTCTGTTGCATTTTTCAAACTCATTCCAAAAATTTTTCCTTTTGCCATTTTTCAAAAATATCCGTTTCGTCGGTTTCGCAAAAAATGGTTTCCTGGGGTAGTTTTGGCCAGTGAGCAAATGTCGTACGGTTTGCTAACTGCCGTGTTTTTGCACTTTGGGCTAGAATCAGTTGCTTGACGCTACTCGTGTCCTTTTTTCTCTGCGTTTCCGGTGCGGCCCCACTCTCCTTCGCCCTTTACGTTCGCCATTGCCAGCCCTAATCTATTCTCGGCAGGCAGATTCTTCTTTCTGTTTCTTTTTTCCTCTTCCTGCGTGTTCTTTTGTTCTAAAAATTTAACTTTAACTCTCTTTTTCAGGCAGCCCCACCATGCAGTGCCACCTACTCGAGGTCGGCCGCAAACGGTGCGACCCGCTCGAGGATGCCAGCTGGATCCCGCGATTCCGAAACGTGAGCGTTTTCCCGAAAATTTCAAGCCCGCGTTTTAGATGCTCGAAATCTGGTTCAAGAAGGGCAAGTCGGTGAGCAGTCGCGTGCGAGCCATCGACGAAGTAACCCCCGACCACGAGATGTTCGAGCAGTTGAAGCGGAAGTTTGCACCGATCGCGGATCCCGAGCCCGAGCTGCGCGTCCGGAAATTGATCCCGAAAGAGCCGAAGGTCTACGGCGTCACCTACGAGTTGCTGATCGTGAAATGTTGGTTTTTTTTTCTTCCGGAGAAGGACATTGACTAATTGTAGCGTTTTCTGGCAGTTTTAAACGTTTTCTTTAGCATCAGCCGACGCCATCAGCGCGACCTTCTACCCGAGCCTTTCATCTGATGAGTCGCTGCCGAGCTGCCAGCTACATCACCCGTACCAACTGCAATTCCAAGAAGACGCCGATGGAGGGTAGCTTATCTTTTGCTTCATTTATTTTCGATTTAGTGGAAACTTCCTCCTGTTCGCCAGTGACGAGAATTCCGAGCAGCAGTTGAAGTGGCTAACGAAGAAAGTCTTCTCCGCCTTGGTACATTCATGTTGCGCTGCTGAAAATCGTTTTAGGAGCGCTGGATTGATATACCCGTCTCGTCCGCGCCAATGGAGACTACAAACGCGCTGATTTCCGGTGAAGCATTCGCCAGCACCTACTTGCAGCTGAAGGACGATTATGGCCGCCAACTGTGCGAGGTGAATATTTGAAATATTTGAATTCCTTAGCGCTTGGAACCGCAAAAGAGCTCTTTTTTTAGATTTGGCCCGAGTCCACCGACCCGTCGAAATTTGTCTATGAGGATTGTGCGATTGCGGCCTATCTACTGGTTTGTTTGCCCTCGCGTTTTGCAGCTAATGTTTCTTTTCAGGAGACATGGCGGAAGCGCGGAAAGATGCCCGAGTACTTCCTCGACCTCGGCTGCGGCAACGGACTATTGGTCTACCTGCTCAACAAAGCCGGGGTACAGTTTTGCCAGCTCTCCGATAATATCCTTTTTAGGTGCCGGGCGCTGGAATTGACCTAAAACGGCGCAAGATCTGGGACACGCTTTTCAAGGACACACAACTTTACGAGGTAGATTTAACGGCTGTTTTCGCATCAAATGGTTTCCTTCAGGACGTCGTCGACCCGCGGACGATCCAGGGCAAGCCATTCGCCCAAAAAGTCGACTATCTGATCGGAAATCACACGGACGAGCTGACCCCGTGGATGCCGGTGATGGCCGCCCGGTTCAACTGCGACTTCTTCGTCATCCCCTGCTGTCCCTTCGACTTCGGAGGCAAATTCAACGGGAAGATGGCCGGTCGGAGCACGGTAGGGTCGCCTCTATTAGTCATCCTTTTTTTTAGTATTCAAGCTACCTCCAATATCTGTCGATGGTGAACGCGGTGATTGGGTTCGAGATGGACAGGGACCGACTGCCGATTCCATCAACGAAACGCGTTCGTTTTCTTTCTGTTTTTTTTGTAGGGCGTCCGAGATTATGCCTATTAACACGAAAATAACTATTTTAATCATCGTGTGGTTAAAATTTAGTTATATTTCACGCGAAAAAGTGGAGTTCTTAGAAAACGGTAAGCCTTTTTGCGGAGAAATCGATCTTTTTGTAGTTTGTAATAGAATTTGCGCAAGTTTGACGTTCTGGAATACGGCATACCAAAAGCACAGGCAGGTACTATCGGCCGCGGCGTAATTTATTAAGAAACACTACTTAATAAACGTCTTATAATATTATTTAAGCGTTTTAATATACTATAATATCTTCTACATATTTATAGGACTTAGTTATATAGTTTTTATATAAATTATTTGCAATATATACAAAAAGAGTGCTTATGAGCACCCGCGGCCGATAGTACCTGCCTGTGCTTTTGGTATGCAGTTTCTGGAATAGTAGCAACCGCTGAGAAACATTTCTCTATTTGTGTTTGGAAAAATCGGATTCTATGGAAGAAAAGCGGACTATAGCACCATTAATTCAACTCTATTTTTAGAAATGCTTCATCGGCGCCATCCCATCGGGCGGACTCCCCAGCGACACCGAGGCGACCATTTCTCAGTTGACGCAAAACGTCGCGACGTTCGTGCCGAGGCCGAAAATTCAAAAGGTTTCAGAATTTTGTTATATTTGGCTACTTCAACCTTCTTAGAATTCCAACTGCAGCGATATACCCGTGGAGATGCGCAAGCGGATAGCGCTGAAGCTGTTCGACTACTTGCTGACCGGACGCGCCGCCACCTCAACGTCTGGGTACTTTTGCATGATCCAATAAACATTTCGATTTAGACAGTGGTACCAGGGATCACAAGTGGCCCTCGCCGAGCTCTTCAAACTACTGACTCCCGAAGAGGTCGACTGTCTGCGGCAACAGCACGGTGGCCTTCAAACTTTCATCAAGAATCACCACGACGTTTTCCACGTTCGTTGTTGTTTTCTAAAATAGTTTAACTCCGTTTTTAGGCTGTTCAGGGCACCGTCAAGATACGCGACTACCGTGACGCCCGTTGGCGGCCCAACAGGAAGAAGTTCAACAATGCCCCGAATTATGTAAGTAGTCATTGTTTCGGCATTGCGGAATCTTTTTTCAGCGAAAGAAAGCGCCGTGCTGGATGGCAGCTCATCATCCGGATGGATGTCCATTGGAGGAAAAGGATTGTCTCTTCAATCACGAAGTGCCATTCCAGCCACTTTGTTGAGACGGGCTCTTCAGCCCCCCGTTTCACGGGTATCCCGCCTTACTTTGTTTTTTAAAGATCCTTTTTGTAGTTATGTCCAACTCGGTAATACCGGTTAGATTGTTGTTGGCCCCGTTTGAGATTTTATGCTCATTTGTGAGTAATCTATCGTTTATCCATTGATTTGAATAAAGTCGTCGAGTTTTTGATTTGGGAAGATAGAAACATCGGTGGTCCGGTCGAAGCTACCATGGACCATAGCAGCATCGCAAGAAGTGGTTCGCGTTTTAGAGACAAATTATACAGCCGGCGGCTTTTTGTGCGCGACAAGGCGGCCCTGCGTGCATTTTACCAACGGTGCGTGTTCGAAATTACTAGTAGATAGCGCTCCGACGCTGTTTCTGTTTCGGCAGGTTCGCAGGGATTGTTAGAGGAAATGGATGGGTATGACAAGCCCGCGCGCAGAAGCCGGAACGACAAAGGCCCGCAGCGACAAACGTTACGTTACGTTTGAACGGAATCCCCCGGTGCACCGCGGAATACCGTATGCTGCGTCCAGAGGAGCCTGGCGACAATGACCTGGCTTCGCGCATTTTCCTTTCTTTTCGTTTTTCTCTCCCGGATCTCAAAATCCTATTTTCATCGTTTTCAATTTTCCAATTTTCCATTTCTCGACATTCCAAGGATCTTTTATGTTTTTATGACCAAAAAAGGGATATAGCTATGTTTCGAAGGGTATTCTCACCATTCAGAGGTTTTATTGGGCCAGAAAAGTGATATAGCCATCTTTCAATGAGGGCGTTATTTCTTACTTGGGGAGAACGGGCTTTGGGATTCCCGTCTCTCTGCTCGTCGATTTGAATTGTGTGCGTTCGCGCTTTGCTACTTCCCCCACCGTTTCAAAAACGCATTCGAAATTTGATAGGCTAAGCTTTCGGTGTATCTTTTTCTAGTTTCAGTTTATCCTCAATTTTTCTTTTCTCGCAATCTCTCAACGTTTCTGCCCTAGGTGCTACTACCCGGAAGTCGAGCATGTCGGTGCACAGCCCGGTCAATCCGGAAATCGAGAAGTCGTTGGTCGGATTGGTAGGCGGTCGAGATTGCTTTCGCTACATAGTTTTAGTACAACTTTCTGGGTAGTGATACGCTGCAGCCGAAAAAGACGCTGCACGACATCGTACCAGGGCACCTTCTCAATGTCTGCAACGTGATGCGTCGTCACAGGTTAGGGTGTCCGGCTTGCTTTAATCTTCTGATTTCTAGATCGCAATCGGCCGAGCCGCTCTTTGCCGGGGACATGCTCACGGCTTTTGAGTGTGCCCACGAGCTGCTGCAACCCCATCACCCCGAATGCCTTCAGTCGATGCAGCCGCGGAGCGCAGCCATGGGGGATAAACAGGAAATTTGCAAGGTACCAATCCCTGTCCGAGCTCATCATTTTTTCAGTACCTGCTCATGATGTTTTACGAGATCACTGTCGGCCAAAATGAAGAAAGCTTGGGCCCTCTCTTGGCCCGGCTCGACAACAACGTGGATTGGGGTGTCGACACCCAACTTCTGAAGCAAACTCTCGAGACCATCGCCGAAAACATCACAGAGATGGACGAGCACAAATGGATGTCAATCCTGGCATGGTGGGTTTAGTTGTTGTGTAGCGTTAATCTTGTTTCTATTTGGTTCCTTTTCCATTTTCCTTTTTCATCATTGATTTCAGTGAAGAAGACGAGGTCTTGTATATCCCGCCTACTCCAACCATCGCCGCAACGCCACGCTCCTACCCGGTCCTCTCCGCGCAATTTTCTCAGCTGCGCACTCCCGCAAAGGCCGATAGCCCTCTCATGAAGGATGTGATCTCGTCACCAAGGCTTCGGTATGGATTGCTACATTTCTATAAACTGTATTTTAGTGAGCGTCGATATGAACGCGAGTTGCAAGATGTGCGCCGTCGCCTCTATGAAGTCGAGGACGAGCTGGCGGCCAACGAAAGGAAAGTGAAGAGTCTGCAGACTCGGAACGAAGAATTGGAAGATGCCCTGGCCAGAGGAAAGGATCGTGTGGAAACGCTGTCGCGAGATGAAGCGCGTCGCACAGAAGCTCTTGCCGACGCAGACAAGGAGGTATTTATAGTTTCGGACATGTCTCTGTCTTCGCGGCTAATGGATCCCTGCATACCAATTATTGTTTTTAGAACAAGGAGCTGAAGCGACAACTGGGGCAACTGCAAGCCACCTACGACAACTTGAAGACGAGCCACACCCGCGCCCTACGCGACATTGAGAAATACGAAGAGCAGCTATCCTCCGATTCTCTAGAGCAGGACGATTACGCGCAACAGGTCTGAATTGTAAAGCCGTTGCTTCATCCCCCATTTTAGATCGCCGAGCTCAGACGCCAAGTAAGCGACCTCGAGCAGTCTGAGCAGGAAATCACGAAGAGCCTGAATGCCGCGGAGCGGCAGTACAAGGTTGTCAAGACAGAGAACGCCAGCCTGCAACAATCACTCGCGGAGGTTGAACTGGCGCTCAAGGCAAAGAAGACCGAGTTTACCCAAAAGGTTTGTTCCCGACTGTGCACTTAGCTATATGCACCCTTCTTTTTAGACTGCCGAATGGGAGCTGCAACTGCAAACCCTGGAAATACAAAACGCCCGCCTACAGAACAAACTCGAAGGCCTCGAAAGCACGCGCAATGAGGAAGCGGATGCACATGAGAAGGAGAAGCGCCGCTTTCTGGAACGGCAAACGACTCTTGACGCGCAGCTACGCGATCTACACGACAAGAACCAACAGGCCGAGGGGCTACGCGCACAACGTGAACGGGAGCATCGTGAAGAGCTCGCTGTGCAGATGAAGACGGCAGACTCGTTCCGTGAAAGCGTCATGCAGCTACAAAAGGACAACATCGAACTCCAGGTTTGCGATTTGTTTATGTAGTATCGGAAGAAATAATGTGAATCAAGAAATTATTGATCACTTTTTCAGAACCGCTCGGCCGACCAGCAGCAACTTTTGGACAAGGCAGAGATGCGCATCAAGGAATTGGTCAAGAACGACGAGAAGCTGCAAGCAAGAAACCTGGAGTTCGAAAGGGCCATCGAGGACCTGATCAGCTCCCATGAGGAAATGGAAAAGGAGAATCGGAAATGTATCCAAGACCAATCGGCGCAATTGAAGCTCGTTACCAAAGAACTTGCCGACGCCAGAAATGAGGTACGTGTGTTGCCTCGTTGTTTGAATTACGTTTTTTAGAACACCGACCTCCGGGCGAGCTTCCAGAGACAACTGGAGCTCGAAAAGCAGAAGGCAGCTGGTAACGTGGAAACGATCAAGAAACTGGAGGAGGAAAAGGAAGACAAAGAACGCCAGCTTGTTGGTTGTATTCACCAAATCAACCTAGATTTTTAGAAAGATCTCCGGCTGAACTCTGACGAATACATCGCCCGGCTGAAAGGCACGCAGAAGGAGGCTATTCTTCGCGCAGAGGCTGCCGAAAACAAGGTGGCCGTGTTGGAGAGTCAGATCGAAGGTAATAGTTATCGTTATCTTATGCATTTGATTCGGATTAGAACTGAAAGAGCGTCCGATTGTCCCCGATGAAAATCAACCGCCACAAAGTGCCCGGCGGCTGTCAATTGCGCCCGGAAGAACCAAACGTACGGCTATTTTTGGCGTGAATACGGTAATTTCTGTTTCAGCCATGGTCAATGAAGAGGAACCGAGCCGCTACCGTGAGCTGGGACTGCAGCGAGAGGTCCGTTACGGCCAGTCAAGCGTGGGGCGCCTAGCCGAATTGAGCGCCCGTAACGCCCGTTTGCCCCCGCATTTGAGGTAAAGTGGACATTCCTGTTTTCACCTTAATTTTTTAGGGACTCGCACGTGTTTGAGACGAACTCCTACTCCCCGACGCACACAGAGCATGACGTTCGGGACGGGCGCTTCAACCCGGAGGAAGTATTGCCGAAACATGATTAATCGCTGAATTCTGTGGAAGTTGCCTTTTTCGATTTAACATCCGATTGATAAACTCATTTGGCACGATCATAAGTGACTCGAGCCTGCATTTCGATTTGCTACTGTTTTTGTGATGCATGTTCTGATACTTTAACTTTACGATATAATGTCTCAAACGATAAAAATTTTATGAATCTGCAATTGCCCCTAATGCAAAGTAACACAGTGGACAACATTGCCAGTAAGCTTCTTGCAGCCGTGCTCATTTTGGTTTTCACAAGCCCGGGTTTGGTTTCGGTTTCTTTTTCTGCCAGCTGCTGAAATGACGCGGCCCCGGCTTTTCATGTGGTCATGTTCATCGCATTGCAGCGTAGTGATATGGAGTCGTCGAGCGCAACGGCCGATCATCTGAAGCAGCCTCGACGACAAATGGGCCCCAATCCCCCGCCGCCAAACGTACCGGAATCTGAAGACGACCGTAAGTTTTGTTTTTTTATGGGCCGAAAGTCGTCTATTTTCAGTGCGCGACCTGGAACAAGATGGATGGCAAGTCGGGTTCGAGGTACTATAATAAACGAAATAATTGGTATTAACTGCTTCATTTAGGTGGAATTCAACGGTGTCGGACATGAAGGTGTGATGGATGATACGCAGAGCGAGGGCAGTGGTAATTTGGTTGAGCATTCGAAATACGAAATAGGTTGGGACTCGGATCCTCCCAGCGACGACGAGAGTGGGCAATCTGCGGTGGTCCAGGATTGCTACACTGGTGTGCTGCTTGCGACAATTTTCTTTTACGATTTTCAGGCCCTGATTACTTAATTGAAATTTAGGCTACCAATGTGTGCCAGTGGAGGCCGGCAGTTGTTTGGAAGAAGAAGAAGATGACGCGAGCGATCCAGCCGCGAGATTTGAGTAAGAACAGCACCTTTTTAATATCTTTATCATAGTTGTACAACACCAAATGTCGATCCGGATACGCCACTGGCAGCGGCATCAAGCTGGAAAGCAGATTTTGACAAACAGGTAACCGAAATGAGCTTTTATAATGACCCCGTTATTCCTAGATGGGTGTCCTGCCTCCGCCGCCAGAAGAAGATGTGAAAATTGAGCACAAGCCACGGCACATTGATTTGGACGAAGGTAGAGCATATTTAAATTTTAATTGGTTTAATTAGACAAAATCTCCACCATCCGCTCGTTGATGACCTCATTCACCTTGGCGCCACCTCCAAAATGGGCCGACGGACGGCTGCAGGATACGGATCTGAAGGCGCTAGTCGAACAACTACACACCAAAGAATGAAGCTGTAACGCGATCCCTTACGATGTACACTTGTAAAATAAATATTGATTTACTGATGTTTTTGTTACAATATTGTTGTTACAACATAGAATATCTCCAGTCTTGGATGTAACTTCATATCTTATTGAATTTATTAGGATGAGCACGAAGGAATCAAGAAAGCGAGCAGTTGTTGATTGCAAGCAGGCTGGGAAGAAAGTGTGGCTTGTCAAGGTATAACTTTTGCTGGCGCGTCATAACCATTTTTTTGAGGTCCCTCGCTACCTCTCCGAGATATGGGAAGCCAACGCAGGTTCGGAGGTGGGAAAGTTGGTGACAACAGGCAACGGAAACAACGGGGTACGCGTGCTGTATGTAATTCTAAAGGTTGTTCAGGTAAAACTTATTTCGCGCAAGGATCTGGTCATCCCCGAAGGGCTGTCGACGGCCCCGTCGACAAGTATTGCGTCGAAAAAGATGGCGGTATGGTCGGAAATTCCATTCCATAATTTTCTGTTTTAGCCAGGGCCATCCATCCCTGAAGAGCACACGTTCATCATCAAAAACGACAATGAGCAGTCGCTGGCGGTTTTGGCCGAGGACAAGGCCGGAATGGAGGAGAGGGCGCAAATTCAGTAAGTTTTTTTTAACCGGTTTCCGTCATTTTTAGGTCGGGCAAACTATCGATCGAGGGAGTCGTCGTGCAGAAGGCGGAGTGCCGCCCTCCGAATAATCTGTCGTATTTGAGGTCGATTTTGGTTACACATAGTCAAAATTTCTTTTTTAGACTGAAAATCGGGCAGATCGAAAAGTCTGGGCAGCCGAAGCGACATGTTATCCAAATTGGAAAGGTCGGTCAAAAATTTCTCTGTGTATATTTTCTCTAGGCTGCGATGAAATACAAGCCGATCAGTGTGCACGCCGAAGAAGCGAACCGCAACAAGCAGAAGAAGGAGGGCATCAAGGTATACTTTGGCCGCGGCGATGATTCCATTTTTTCTATTTTAGGCTGTACGTGCTGATCGTGATGTTCTGCGACAGACACTGTTCCACGCTTTCGAGAAGCATCAATATTACAAGTATGGTTCTATACATCGTTATAGCTTGAGTTTTAGGCTTAATGACCTGACGCAGCTTACGAATCAACCCCACGGATGGATCAAGGAGATTTTGAATGTATGTTTTGTTTCTGCTGCTTATTCTGGGTTTCAGGAAATTGCTGTCTACAACACGGCACCGCCACACAAGAACATGTGGGAGCTGAAGCCCGAGTACCGGAATTATGATACCCAGAAATGATTCTTTCTGCATTGTTTTTCTTGTTAGATTGCGATACCGGTGAAGCGATGTGAGACGATAAATTATTCCACTACATTTGAGCATAACCAGAGCAGCGCTAGCTGATGCACCATGTATTTTTCAAGCTCAAGTTGACAAGCTAAAGTTGTTGAACAGTCGTATAGTCGTATGGTGAAGTTCTCGTTGGAGGGCGTCGGCAGTGCGGGGAGATTGGGGAAAATCACTCAATGGGGTATGATTTCCTTGAATTATAAAACGTATTTCATAGGCAGCAAACCATTTGAGCATGCCACGCCGTCCTGTATGTTGTATTTACGCGCAGGCCACGTCCCGCATTTGACATGGCCGGTCAGTGGCTTTGTACATAAAATAAATAATTTTTCGGATATTTCGCATTATCGGGGGGTAGGCAAATTTTGCGTATACGTCTAGCAATGCCTAGTGAATAAATAGGATTTATTTTAATAAAGTTTTTAGTAAATTATTTTTCAGTCAGAAAAACTATCCAAAAACGCTCAAAAATTGTCGAAAAAAGTCGAAATTTTGGCCAAAAGGTGCCGTTTTGGACGAAACATCGAGCCTTCGTAAAAAAACAGTTTAGAGACACTGCCGCTATTTGTATTCGAAAAATTGGATCCTAAGAAAAGAATTTGGCTTCCCCCCCCTCCCGATAATGCGAAAGACCATTGAAATAAACAATGTTTAAGGTAGAAGCCAAATGGGTTCAGCACACTCAAGCGCCGATCTATCAATTAACGTTGCCAAGCTTGTAAGTTTTTTAGAATAGACCAAAACATTTTAGTGAAGAGTTGAATCCAAGGAGATCATCGCAAAATTTGGTCAGGGTGTCCGCCAATTTTGTTGTATACCGGTAACACCAGGAGTTTTGCGGTTATCTTAATTTAGGATGGGCCCTTGCATCTGGCAACATTCGACCCGTTGGCAGAGCTGAAGACCGGGTACAACGAGGCCAAGTCAATCTCAATATGGGCATCCGGAGGAAAGATCAAGGTTCGAACAATGTTGGGATTAAACGTGTTTTTAGCTATCAGTATTCGACCAGCATGAGATTGTCAAATGCTTCTCCGTGGACACGTTTGAGACGCTGGTTTGCTTAATTTTCTATTTTCCTATGCGATTCTTTAATTTTCGTATTAGGTGGACTACGATTTGCCAAAGGATGTTACCGGCAAGCGAATGGCCAAGGGAATGGATCGAACACGAATTCTCAACGAACAGACGTTCGAGTATGAAGAAAATCTAGCGGTGTGTTTCTTCCACATCCCTTTGAGTTCTATTTAGACGCCCGTTTTTATCACCCTTGGCGGCGGCCATTCGGCATTTGAACGCCGGAGGTGCGCGGTGGATATTGGGCGAAGGTCGGAAAATGACGCGCAAGTGTGGGTTTTTCTTCTGGGTTTTGAGCGCTTGTGGCTTGTTTTCAGGGCCGGCTACTCGATTGAATTCCACGACTTTTGGCACGGCGGTCACTGGGATCTGGCCGCGATCAAGGAGCTGCTGCACGAGACGCTGGTACGAAACTCAGATCTGGTTCTTTCGCATTATCGGGTGGGGGGGGCAAAAATCTTTTCGTCGAATCCAATTCTTCAAATCTAAATAGCGGAAGTATTTCTAAAAAGCTTCTGAATATTCCTAAAGGTAAAAATTGTTACGAATTTTTATTAAAAATACGAAAAAGATAGATTTTTTGACAAAATGGCGATTTTTGTCCAAATTTTCGAGTTTTTGAAATTTTATGAGTTTTTTCTAGTCGAACGAGATTTTGATTTTGCTAAAAACAATATGAAAATACCCTATTAAGTTACTAGGAATTTCTACTCGTACAAAAAAATTGTCCCTCCCATAATGTGAAAGAACCAGTTCTCAAAATAATTTTAGGAACCCCTCCCAGCCGGCCGTCTACGCTACATTTGCGGAGTGTTCTCGCCCACCCAAGTTTGGCACTTGGTGAGGATGGGCATCGACCTCTTCGACACGTCCTTTGCCTCAAAAATGGCTGATGAAGCAAAGGTAATTGGGTCAGCTTTAGCGCGAAATCATGGCATTTCAGGCGATACGGCTCGCACCCGATTTTGCGGAGACCTCCAGCTTCACATTGATGGACTTTACCGACGATCAGTAGGTGACCCTATTCGAGAATGGTCTCTTTCTTCCAGGTATAAAGAAGACTTTACAACGCCCTTCCCGGACTGTGACTGCTACACGTGCAAAAACTACACGCGAGGATACCTCCATCACCTTAACAATACGAAGGAATTGCTGTCGGGGATACTTTTGACAATGTAAGGATATTGATATTTATCTGAGCCTTGTTTAGCCACAACGTTCACGAATACGAGCGGATGTTCGTCTTACTCAGGGACCGGATCGCGGATGAAGCCGAAGCGAAAGAAAATTAGGGCAATCTTGGTTGTGATTATTGTATTACTACATTGTTTTTGTTAGGTTGTTGATTTTGAATAAATTTTCTGTCATAAAGCTGCAAAGCTACGAAACCTTATGATGTTTTGACGTCATAATTTTACTTTGGGTTCTCTCGCATTATCGGGGGGGCGATATTTTTGCATAAGTCTAGAAACGTAGAGTAACTTAATTAATAGAAAGTGTTTTGATCGTGTTTAATAACATTAATAATCGATATTTTTACATTTTTTAATAAAATTTGTCTATTTTTCACGTTTAGGAAGAACAATAAAATAACTATAACGCGTAGAAGTTTTCGGACTTCTATCTTTTGACTAATAATTACAAGTAGTAAACCGGATTTTTAGCGCCATGGACGAGGAGCGCGTGAAGCTGGACAAACGATTTGACTGGGTGGGCCCGATGGATCGACTGTCTAAAATTCGCGCGATCCGGTATCCGAAAAATCCTTTCATAAGGCACATATCATTTCTAGTTTACGGCAAGTCACCAACGAAACCGACCTCGAGCGGCAATACAGGGAGAATCGGGAGAAACTGAACAGATGGTGCTCAGCGTTTTGGGCCGACCACAACACAAAGTTCGACCGCGAAAAGGCCGCCTATGTCGACAAGGTTGCGAATTTTCGCCGTAATGACGTTCCTTTGTTTTAGAGAAAATCCGAAATCGGCCGAACAGAGCAGGTGTCCGCCGAGGATTTGTCCAAATTCTACAAGCAGTTCTTGGACTCGCGGCATCAAGCTTTGATGGATTTTAATAGGTATCGGCTTGATTTTGTTTTGGTGAATATAGCTCGGTCCTTTTGCATTATAGGGGGCGAACTTTTTTGCATGTCCGGAAAATTGGTATAGTAACTTAATAGAACGGGTTTTGAATAGAGTTTTTAGTAAAATATATTATTTTCAACTAGAAAACTATTTAAGAACTTGTAAAAAGTTTTGAAAAAGTCGGCAGTTTGGTCAAAAATCGTTAATTTTTGGTTGAAACGTCGAGGTTTTTAATACAAATTTGTAAAGTTTGCACGTTAGCAATAACAAAAAAAAAAACTCTTTAGGAACACTGCCACTTTTATATTAAAAAATTAGATCCTAGGAACAAGTTGTTCCCCCCGATAATGCGAAAGCACCTTTAGCTCTGTATCCTAATTCGATAAGCTTATTTTTTCAGCGAATGGTACCGCCGTAACCTGGGATTGATCTGGCCGGCCCTGCAAGTCAACATGATCCGGTTAAAACGCCTCCTGCTCCGTCGCTGATTCGCCACATTGTCTAGCCACAACGAATGCTCTGAGCTCGGGTCTCGCATTTCGTACAGTTTCTTTTATTAACTCGCATAAATAGGATAGTTTATGTAAAAAATAATAGCACCGAATTATTACACGTCTGCTGCGCTGTGTGAAATTAGATGATACCCCTCTTCCTCTGCTCGTCGATGGAGTAGCAGTACAGCTCGCATTCCTGTAGGAACGGGTTGTTTTTAGTTCTTCTAGAAGTTCAGGAATACCTGCTTTGTTCGTGGGGACCGCCACAGGTTAAAGTCGAGCTCCGGGCAGTAGGGGAAGATGTAGGGCTCGCATTGATCGGTGTTCGAGAAGCGGTTTACCTAGAAATTTTGGTTGGCGTTCTTCTTAGTCTGTTTCAAATAGCTGGTGCTCCTTGGGGTACCTTTTAGAGCGACTTACCCTCCTGAACCAGCGGTGCACCTTCTGGGCGGGGTCCCTGGCGTTGAGCGTGACATTGGGGCATCCGTTCACGATCAAGTCGTGCCACAAAATGAAGGGCATCGGGTCGCAACCGCGAGCCGGCGACCCGATAGGGCATGCGCAGAGCTAAATCGAGCGAATTTTTATTAGGGTCTCTTGAAAATGTCTAATATCTGGTTAAGTTTATTTTGGGTAAAGCCTAGAAATGTCTCGTAAATTATTATAAAGTGTTTTAATAGCGTTTTTAGTAAAATAAGACTATAATATAAATTTCTGATGTCCGTACGCCCGACCGACCGGGAATTCAATCGCGCCGCGAACCCCCAAATATACCGTAGCTGAGGGCTGAAAATTTTCACCGGAGCCGCGCCGTTTCGCATTTTCCCCACGGGAGGGCCAGCGCTGAACCCCCGCGGAGCGGGGGGTCAGCGCTGGTAAGACTATATTTCTCTAGAAAAAACTGTCGAAAAGTCGAAATTTTGGTAAAAACGGTAATTTTTGTTCCAAAAATCGGATTTTGTATTTTTTGATAAGAAATTGTAAAGTGGTTATTGAGGAATGGTCAAAACAACAGTTTTAGGAACATCCGCCATGTAAATATGAAAAATTGCATCTTCAGAAAAAATTTGCGTAGAATTTTTTAAAAGCTATATCCTTCCCATTTAAATTGCGCAGCATATTTTTAAGGCTATACCCTAATCATTTAATTTGCGCAGCCACTTTTTAAGCCATGCCATAGCCAACACGGATGATCGATGTCGTCGGCCAGGGGGGTTATGATTGCGACGACCTTGAGGCGGCAGAGCCCGCGGGGCAGACGGAGCATGGCACTGATACCAGTTCCTGCCACGTAATCTCGTCTAAACCCCCCGAAAAAGAATACGCGCATCGTCGGCAAACAGTGGTCCAGCCGAGAATTTTCGCTTTGGTTGGAGGTGTAGAACTGCGAGAGCAAGAAAGTATTTGCAATTTCGAAAATCTATGCTTTTTTTTGCGCAGAATGCTAGTTAATGGCCAAAATTCAAAATGATTGTTTTGCAAAGTTTTTACTGCTTTTTAGTAATCTGAATTTACCAAAAAAACGATAGAATGGTTGATTCTATGATCTTTTGTATTATCAGGGGGGCTTTTTCTATGATCTAAATTTTCGAATATAAATAGTGTGCTTCTAATGGTTTTTACTATTCCTCAAGGTGAAAACTAGTGCAAAATTTTATTAAAAAGGTCAAAAACATCGATTTTTACCAAAATTTCGACTTTTCAAAAGTTTGTAGATAGATTTTCTAGTTGAAATCTAGTTTATTTTGCTAAAATCACTATTAAAACACGTCTTATTACGCCACTAAACATTTCCAGACTTCTAGGATATTAGCAGCGTCCCCTCACCTGACATCCGTTTCGCTCGGTGACGACGGCACAATCGAGGCCGGTGCACAACATGGGCGGGCAATTGTCGACTATCAACTTGCCGAGATCGGCGATCACCGACAGTTGTGATCCTGATTCAACGAATACTCATAGTGATTAGGGCGGGCAACTCACTGGATTGCGAGTAGACGACATACAGGGATGCTAGCGTGCCCACAGCTAATGCCAACGATTTTGAGATCATCTGCAAGGGGCTGTTAGTGAAATTTCATGAAAAAAGCCAAAAAAGGAACGAGAAGTTTAATATGATGGTCTAATGGATTTGTTAAAAGTTTGAAAAGTATTTTATGCAGTTTCCGAAAATTATTTAGGCTTCAATTGATTGATACACTTTTGAAAGGGGGAATTCATTTTCTGCGAAGTTAGCGAAGCTTTCAAATTTCTATAGAGTTCTTAAAGGTTTTGAGAGCACTAGTTTTTTTAGAGTATTCTGACCCTTCGTTAAATTGAGCCGAGCCAGCTCTTCAAAACGTTATTTTGATGTGGAACATTTTGAATTATAGGTTTTTGCGCAGCTGATGCTTCGTTAGAATATAAAGAAAGGGGCTTTCTCTAGGTCTACTTAATTTTTTTAAATTTTAAAAAGCCCTTCTAGAGGGTTTTTGGATATGAATTAAGTTATGGTAGGAATTTAGACACATACAAAGGAAGAGAGACGCTTTTTAGTGTTCACGGAATTTCGAAATGGGACGAAGCCAATTTTGTGCGGATCGAAACAACCATATATGAAAAGTTATGAAGCTTTTAGGGCGAAAGAGGCAAAAATTGGGCCTTTTTTGCGCTAAAAACCGTCCGGACTTTTCGAATCTCTAGGTTTGGTCACCTCCCGAATTCGGACGACACTAAAAAACGTCTCTTTGCTAGCCGAAACCCTGCAACGAGCGAACGGCGCCTAGCGGAAACGCTGAAGCCAAAAAGTAAAGTTTGCAGAACCGGTGCCATTCTGCCCAGCCCAGCTTTCTCGCCGGCAGCACTAAACGCTCCACACAACGCGCCCCGTCAAGGGAAAACGGGCACCATTTGCGGCGAGGTGAAATCAAAAATTGGCTCATTATCCCCCCCGTGGTGACGGTAGAGGAAGGGGAGGGGGAGACATGGTGAGCATGGGGTTGGAAAGGGGAAGGAGGAGGAGGAGGAGGAGGAGGAGGCCGGGGTTGTGCCTAGAAAGGATCGAAGCAGCCGGGGAACCGGCTTCTTCCCCGTTGCCCCCGAAATCAGGGCTTCAACGCCGTCGCGGAAGGCTCGAGCTGCTGCTCGGGCGGAGCAGATCTCGTGTCCGGGGAGTTTTCGCACCGGAAAACGACCCGCACGAGCGGAACGTCGGGATTTTGGCGTGCCAGAACGATGCTGCTGAGCATTTCTGCTTTTGTTAGGGGTTTTAGGAGTAGCTGATTACATCCGACTCCTAGAACGTGCGCTTTAAGGAAACGCTCGACAAATGTTAGGATTTTTTGGAAAACGGCATCTTACCGAGCCTTTTTTTTTAGTCAGTGAACTGGCAGCAAGTCAGTCTTCGTTGAATTCAAAATTTCTAGGCAGTTTGGTGCTTTGCTACAATAAAGACAGTAATCGTACCTCGTTTAAAAAACCCTCTCTAACTCGACGGAGATGACGACGGAGACGGAGAGACGGAGAGATACCATTCGAAAGCCCTTGAAACGGCGAGTTTGCATGAATTTTATCATTTTTATTGAACTGCGCTTTAAAAACATTAAAGAACGGCCTCTGCATCTAATTAACGGCTACTTACGGCCATTTTTTGCGAAACATGAGGCCGACCGGCCCCGCGCGTCTGCAACCCCAAAAATCAGAATTTTTTTTACAAAATAGCTTGTAAAATAACGCATCTAAATATAAATATTTTGAAACTCGTTACAAATTCGCCATTTTGAAGGGCTTTTGAATGGTGTAACTATCGTTGAGATCCGATACATACTTCTGCGTCGAGTTAGAGGGCGGTGTTTTTCGGGGTTTCCGCACCGGTAAAAACCGGCACAATAAGTATTTGCCACCATCAGGGTTCAGATTTCCTTCCTATGAGATATTAACGTTATTCGATATTTTGCATATAGGTTGGTTGACATCGTTCTTTCAGATGTATCCGTTTTTAGTTGTCTATGGCCGGCGGAGCAAAACGGAATGGTTTAAAAAAAAATTTAGAATACGATCCGGGTTCGATTCCCGAGGCAGGGAAATGTTTTGGAATGTTTTAGCAATAACTAACGATGTGTTTTTCTTATCAAATAATTCAGATCTTAGAAATAGACGGCGTAAAAAGCCACAGAAATGGGGACATCAATGACAGCTAGAGGAGGTCGAGCGGGGCGAGATTCGCGATGATGGTTATGCGCCGCGCCCCCGGGGGTGAGAGTGTCAAGTTTTTTCAGGCGAACCAATCTCCGCGCGCCGCCCATCTCCATCGACTCCTCCTGCTCCTCTTCCTTCTCCTCGAATCTCGACATATCGGTATGGATCGGCCGGGGGAAGCCGGGGGTGAAATTGTCTGTTCATCCGGTCGCTGATAGTACCTTTCAATGAGGGTGTGCGCGTTGAGAAAAACTATCTCTCTCTCTCTCTCTCTCTCTCTGTCTCTCTCTCTCTCTCACTCTCATTCTCTCTCGCTCGCTCTCCCTCCACCGCTTCCAAGTCGAGGACGACCGCTGCTTTCGCTCATCAAAAAAATGTGGCGACTACCGGGTCGGCTAGTTAGTTCCTGGTCGGACGACATTTTGCCAGGATCGGGGAGCACATTTTCTTGGCTGAGCCGTGTTTAGGACGAGGGAAACGCACATTTTCGGGTTTAAAACTCATTTTTTTTGGAATTGTTTCTTTCGCATCATCGATGGGGGGCCCATTTTTTCTGTGAGGTCCAGAGTGCCTAGCGGTGTAAGTCTTTTAATAGGGTTTGGTAAATTTTATTCATATTTCAAGTAAAAATCGATTAAAACATTAGAAAGAGTTTTAACTATGATAGAAATTTTTGTAATTTTTGTAATTTTATAATTTGTAATTTTTGATGAATATTTGTAAAGTTTTTACGTTTAGAATAGTAAAAAAGTTTAGTTTGATAAAATAAGTCTGATAAAAAGTTGGGCCCTTAAAAAAGAGAGTCTCGCCGATAATGCGAAAAAGATAGAAGAAAGGGGCTCAGAAGTCAGGATTCGTGCGTGCGGGGATTGAACCTACGGGTCAAAAAACGAAAGGGTCACTGCTGAGAAGTGCTAAAACGTGATTTGATCGCGAGAAGACGTAAAATGTTTGAGAAAAACCGAATGTGCGCGGCGATTACATGTCGTAATGCCTTGTAAGGCACCCAATCTCACGACCTCGGTGATTCTCTGATCAATTTTCATAATTTAAAAGTCTGGAATGATCAAAATTCGTTGAGAATTCCAAAAATAGTATCAACATTTTGAAATTCAAGCGTTTTCGTGTCCAAACAGAGGCAAAAGTTTATGCGGCGCGGTCGCGTTGCGGCCGCCTCTGGCTATTTGCCAGGAATCACAGCAGGGGGCCGTGGACCAGATTTCGGAGCCCCTTTAAAAAACGCACAAATTTTTTGCCCGTAATTTCCCGGCTCAAAGCGGCGCCGCCCGGGAATCCCCGGCTTCCATCACCACCAACAGACTCACGGAGACATGGGTCACTTTTTAGGGGAACAGGTTCTCCCCCATCCCGAGGCGAGTGATTCGCTCTTTAGGGACAGCGCTCGGATGGCGATGGTGCTGCAGCAAGGAATGGGATTCTCTTTTTTGGCTTCAACGTAGCTTTCGACGGGGTCGGAACAACAAAAACCTATCGTTTGAAAAAATACCTACCCAATCGGGTATTTTGGGACCAACAATCGGCCCCCAAAAAAAACCGCCGGCATTTCGCCGTCTTTTATCGGAGCGGGTTGAAATTTTTACCAGCCATGTACAACTATAAAAACGATGTGTGGCCCAATTTTCAAAGTAAAATATTGAAAATCGAAAAAGTTATCGCAAATTTGCGGTTTTTTGACGATCTTAGTTGATTTAGACGGATTTCAACGTAGAAATGTTTCGCAAAAATTAGGCGAGCGCTCTTTTCTATCCGGGGGAATTTCTTTAATTTCCGCAGATATCGTTAAAATCAGCGCTTTTAATCGTCTTCTATCATCAAAATCGTTAGAAACCGGTCGGAAAACGACTACTTTTCCGCAAATTACTCAAAATCCGTACTCTACTTGCCATGTTACAGGGTCGAAGACGTGCCGCAGAATTTTCAGAAAAATCTGTTTTTGCCATAACTTTTTTGTTTTACAATATTTTGGTTCGAAATTTTGGGTGCAAATAGTTTTTATCAGTTCCCAACGGTGGTAAAAATTTTGGCTCGATCTGAGAGAAGATGACCAAAAGGATCTCGAAAATCTGCCAATTTCCGGTGCAACCAAAGGGTAAGCTTTATTACATTAAGAAACAATTTAATGTTCATGGCCATTTTAATAAAACTATTTTTGTGGGAAATACTGTAGTTATATTCTGCAGCCAATTCAGCGTTTATTCATAGAGCGGCCGAGAAAATGAATACATGAATAGGAGACGAAAGGATCTAATCAGCAGTGTTAAAGGAGGCACACAACAAGTGACGGGGTGATATTGAGGATGGTGGTGATGGTGATGGTATTGATGGGGAAGGGCAGCTGGGCGAGACGGCCACGTTGTTCTGCTACTTCTTCTTCTTGTCGGCTCCGAAACAGTCGCCGCCCACGCCCGCCAACGTCTGGTAGTTCGGGTCGGCGGTGGCTGCAAAAACGATTTTTAATTGATTTAATCGATTTACATAATTTCAAAATATTGTTAATTGCTTTAATTTGATTTAATTTCTTCTATAAATTTTTTTAGAAGCAAAAACGCCTAAAAAGACCTAAATTAGCGCAAATTTGGGACTGAGCTGTTAGCAGGGGGCGAAAAATTTTTCCCAATTATTCTATACGGCGCTTTCACAAAAATAAACAATTTTTATAGCATTTAAAGATGCTTTCAGTTAAAAAGTTACTAAACAATTATCAAAATTATCGATAATTTTTGTGTTTCACAATTTTAATTGAGGTCTAAATTTTCCTAATTTTGAATAAAATGTAAAAACGCATTTATAACTTTGAAAAACCCAAAAATGAAGAACAACGGTCTTTTTTGACTAAAAACTAAGAAATCAAAGGCG